CCCCCAAGCCACGCGCCGCCATTTTGTTGAAAATAGCTCAAGTAGATGGAATAAAAAAGACACAAGGACCAATAGCGCTAGGTGCAAGTAATATAAAAATGAAATAAAATAAATCAAGAGGAATTCAGGCGGAATAAAAAATAAAAGAAGAACTGGGGAGCGAGGGGCAACGGGGGGGTTAACTGTGGTGGTCGCAACGTTGAAGTTAACTTCGCATTTAACATCTGCTGGAGAGGTTAAAATTTCCCCCGAGGTTTACACTAAGTTCCTTCGTTGAGAAAGAAAGAGAGAAAGAAATGAGGTATCTTTTGTCCCGTGCGGTGAAGGGGGCTGCGGGGGGAATCAGGGGAAATTGAGGGAAAAAAAAGAGGTAGGGGAGGGGGAGCAAATCAGAGGGCTTTATCGTGGATACCGTGGAATCCTCTGCGGAAGTACTTCTCTTCCCTATTTCAATTCCCCCCTCGGCCCCTCATCCAAGACGACATACAAAACAATTAAATGTCGCCTTGCAGTCATTAATTAGACGAGGCTGAATGAAATTGTGAAAGCATTTATATACAATTTTATTTTGTCTGCTTTATTTAATGGGAATTAAAAGAAGGGAAACCTCACCCCTCGTTTTCTAATGTCATGAGTGCACTTCTAAGGCGACTGTGCCCCCCCCCCCCCCTTGCCCCTCTGTACAGCAAGTTCAATTGAATTTATTCGAAAGGCGTCAACATCCATCTGCGCGTAGTGAGTCAACTCGATTCACCTTCTGCGGTCGGGTAAAAACATGTTTAAATGAGAAAAGACGACACAAACGCATTTCCACCGTGCCCCCCTCTTTGCCCCCCTCTCCTTTGACCCCTCGAGGGACGAATAAATAAATGCAGTTTGCGAGGGAAACTCGGTGGAAATTCAATATAACAATTTTTCCACGACGAATAGAGAGTGAAACGAAATTAGATAGAAAAGTTGTGGCGGTGAAGGGAAAGTGGGGGAAGTAGGGGAAGTCGGGGTGTGAAGGGCAGAGGGGGTGGCAAGATGGGAGACCAGAGAGAGAGAGAGGGAAAGGAAGAGTTAATGAAAATGTAAGGCAAACAAAGTTGATAATAATAATTACCGGTAGGAGGAAAAATAGTCGTAAACAGATTACCCGCATTGGAGACCTCGCGGTTAATCATTCGAGTTTAAAGTTTATTGCACTGGTAGTTCGGTGGAGGTATGTAATGTTCAATATATGAGGTAGGTTACACCTGTATGGTAACTACGCCGGCGGGCGTTGGAGAAACTTCCGCGACGATAAATTAACGACAACAAGATTGATCACGGTTGAGGGAAGATGATGCATGACGGTGCCCTCTTTCTGGGGTTCTCCTGATTTTTGGGGGATACCGGTGGATGTGACGATGCGATTTTATATGAGAATTTATGGGGACTCGGGAGCTGCGATATCAGGGGCAAAATAGGATGACTTCACTTCGATAATTTTAATAAGAAGGAGAATACTATCTGGGAGAAATTCTAATTACTTAAGTTTTATAAAAAATTATTTGAAATGGTCTGATATCGTAAATCGATACCTGAGAAGTTCAAACGATAAAACCGCTGGAATAAATTCCTAAATTTGAATTTTCCCAACTTTTCTGGTTTCAGATCTGCGAATTACGCGAATGTCACGAAAGTATGCGAATTATCGGACATGGACAGACTGACAATGGCGGGTTCAAATGCCCTCCAGGTCTCAAAGGACTTCGATTTTCTGGAGAATCACTGCGTCGACGAGCCTGTCAAACTCTGCGAATTCAAAAAGCTCACTGGTCGCATACTGAAGACAGTTGATTCTGTTTACCAGGACATTGCCACGTTGGAGGAGTGCCGGGAGCTCTGCCTCAATTCACCGTTCCGTTGTCACTCCTACGACTACGGTGACACCGGGGATATGGTATGCAGACTGAGTCATCACTCAAGAGCAACGCTGTCAGACATCCAGGTGAATAGACTTTGGCCTCATTCAGTTGCAAATTCTTTTTCAACAACAGATGAGTTTATTACGAATGTAAATATGGAGATGACAGAGGAAATCTGTCACTCGTAGATCTACCACGTTTCAATATTCAAGTCAAATTAGTATTTTCTCTCTAGCATCTCCCCTCCGCACTTGGCTATTCACACAAACACAAAGATTCTCATTTGCATAAAGAACCGAAGTTGACAATTGAAGTAATGATCAACATTGAACGGTTCTAGTAATTTTCTTCCTCTAAAATTCGTCTTCGTCATTATCCTTGAATCAAGTACATATTTCAACCGTGACCATTCATCCGGTCTGATTGACCGATCATGTAACGATCATCAGAACAATCTTCAAGTTCAATTACAAACGGTTAACCCACAATTTCCAAGTGTAATTAATTCATGGAATAATTTATCACCACCAGGAACCGTACTTAGACGTACCCGAGGCGTCAACATATGAACTGAGCTCGTGCTACAACGTAACCATCGATTGTCGAGCTGGTGACATGGTGGCCAGAATACAAACCAGCAAACTGTTTAACGGCAAGGTATACGCCAAGGGCTCACCAAACTCATGTGTACAGGATATCAAAGGAGCACTCGAGTTTGAGCTCAAAATGGCGTACGACGATTTGGAGTGTAATGTCAAACAGCAAGGACTTGGAAGATACCTCAACGATGTTGTGATTCAGCATCACGACACAATAGTCACTAGTTCGGATTTGGGACTGGCAGTGACATGTCAATACGACTTGACCAACAAGACAGTGTCAAATGAGGTTGACCTTGGTGTTCAAGGTGATATAACACCAGCACTCAGTGAGGAGGTGATCGTTGATTCACCAAATGTTGCAATGAAGATAACAGATCGTGATGGTCACGAGGGTATGCCATCCGCTGAGGTTGGCGATCCTCTCGCTCTCAAATTCCAAATTCTCGATCCAAATAGCCCATACGAGATATTTGTACGTGAACTTGTTGCCATGGATGGCATTGACTCGAATGAAATCGTTCTCATTGATTCAGAAGGCTGTCCAACTGATCATCTTATCATGGGTCCACTCTACAAATCCAGTAATACCGGAAAGGTGAGATATCATTGTCAATGAGTTGCTCCAACAACTCGCTGGACACGTTATCGCATATTCAAAGTTTACGATCACGGGAATTAACATTTTTTTTCTAAATGAGGGGTACGGGCGTACGGAATTGTAAATGAAAACTGGTGGGGCGGGTTTCGAGGATGTTTAATGATGGAAAGTACATGATGATGTAAGTCAAATTTACTGGATTCCAGGACTTGTTGGGAGGAAGTTTAGGATTGAAGGACTAACTCATCACGCATTTCCTTCATTAATTCTCATCATCTCGAGACTCTATTTTATGGCATCAGGAAATTGTGTTACAAAGTGTTTTGCAAGAAGTCAAACGTGATATCATGATTCATTACGCGTAATTATTCAGGCGATCAAGACTCGTGGAAGAATATCGAGGGATAGATTTTTGAAGGTTGTGAAAGGCCGGTGAAATTCTCTTGGAAAGCTTCTCATTATTATAATAATTCAACAATTATCCGGGTATTTCTACGCTGTTGCTAATTATCACTGGAGTAACTGAACTTTAGATTAAAATTTAAAATACTCTGCACGAATGATTATCTACAATGAACTAGATTTACTCCCTTACGGTTTCACCTAATGACTAGAAATCTTCGACAGGTTCTCTTATCATACGCTGTGCTACTCGCGGGGGAATCAAGTTCGAGCACGAAATCATTGTTCATTAGCCGCAATTAAGTCTTGGATGATCGCGTTTATGGAAGAATGTCGGAAGATGTTTTTCAAGATTCATAAAATTTTCCACGAGAGCGGCCTCTCCACTCATTTTCATAAACCTGTTCATATAAAAAAATAAATAACAATTAACCAAATTAGACGCTTTGGCGGTGTTTTGTAATCACCGCAGAAGTAACTGAACCTTAGATTGAAATTCAGAGTACATTCCTCAAATGAATATTCAGCTTCACGATAGCTTCGCCTAAAGCTAGAAATCTTCGGCAGATTATCACATATTGTGGACGCAAGAGGATTCAAGCACGAAATCATTGTCCATTAACTGTAATTATCCTGTGATGATCCCGTTTATGAAAGAATGTCGAAGGACGTTCTTTAGGATTCATAAAAAGTCCCACAGGAACAGTCTCTCGACTTATTTTCATAAGCCTATTCATTGTAAAAAAAAATTACTTGAAATAACAATTAACCAAATTAGATGCTTTGGCGGTATTTAATAGCCGACACTAGAAAGTAACTGAACCTTAAATTGAAACTCAGAGTACATCAGATAAACGAATGTTCTATTTCCTCACTAAAGCTCCAAGTCCAGAAATCATTAACAAATTCTATCATCACATACTGCGGTAGTTCTCGAGAAGAATCAAGTCAACCACGAAGTCATAGTCCATATATGAGCTGAAATTATCCCGTTGATGATCCCGTTTATAAAATATCGAAGGATGTTACTCAGAATACATAAAATGTCCCATAATTACGATCCTTCAACGCGTTCTCACGAACCCCTTCATTATGAAAAAAAATAATTAATCAAATGAGTTGGTTTACCGCCGAATGATAAAAGCTAACTGAACCTTAAATTGAAATTCAGGGCTGTCTACATGAGTGATAATCAACAATGTAGCTTATTACCCAACGGCTTGAACTAACGGCTAAAAATGGTTTTTGCAGATTCTGTTATCACACTTCGACGCCTTCAAATTCCCAAGCTCGGAGGTAGTGCAATTCCGCGCTCTGGTGACTCCCTGTATGCCAAGCTGTGAGCCAGTACAATGCGACCAGGAAGAATCAACCGGTGAACTTAGATCGGTGATAAGCTTTGGTCGTCGTCGTCGCAGACGTCACACAACAACTCAAACATCGCGGGAGGATCTTCTCCTCGTTCAATCAATCCAGATAACCGATAAATTTGGCTTCGAAAGATCCGATAAATTGTCCGACAATCGTACATCGATGCCACATGACAGCGTTTACGGTGTCGAGGGTGATGATATTGTTGATTTGAACGGACGTTATGGATTATGCGTTAATGTTGCTGAAGCTATTATAGCTGGAGCTGTATTCATTGTTGCACAGATAATCATTATTGCTGCGTGGACATTTACATGGCAAAGACGCAAGCAGATATTAAAACACCAGGAGGCACTTTCGGTATCGGTGTCAGTACCAGGTGCTATGCATACGGGTTTACCGAGTCGTGCTGACAGCCTCTGTAAGTTATACGACGCTGGTTACTCGAGGCGTTTTTAAACAGAGAGAGAGTGAGGAAGTAACGAAACATGAAGAATGACACTTAAATTTTTGCGATAGCTATCGTTCTAATAACCATTTCGCTGGATCATTTCAAATCTATCGTGCCTTCGACGCGGTGAGATATTTCCATTTTAAAATTCATACGACAATCGCGGTAAATTTAACCGGTACGATTCGAGCATTGCGATCTGATACCGATTATCAGTGCTCAGTCCTAGTTAAATCTCCATAGTATTCGTGGATATTTCTCTCCGTGTGTACAATCGGCTGGTACATCTTTTTTTTTTTTCATAATCACTTTGTTAAGCGAAGTGAAGTGGGCATGAACTCGGCTACTGCCCCCAGTGTCACCAGACCAGGGGCAGCAGTTGAAATTGTCCAGATAATGCGCCTGTACATCACCCATTTGTGTACACGTGCATTATCACATGGCGGACGCTACGGTGGAACCACTAACGACTCATTTAGTTATTTTACTTTTTTTTTATAATTTTTTTTTTTATTTTTAACCGAGGCTGGAGTTTAATTCAGGTCGAGCTGGATCATCATTGCGCTTGAGTTCCACCCAGTAACACCCAATGTGACGAACCGCTTGACCTGGTTCAACAATTTAAACTCGTTTCAAGGCTTATGCTCACTTTACGATTTATCGATGAATGGTTTTTTTTTTCTTTTTCATTATGCAGGGCAGTGATATTGAATACTGTCGACTTTGTTCATTGTCAGGGCTCCACTGTCGATAACCCTGCGATATGTGTGCTGATTATGATGGAATGAAGTCATGAGACTCACGCTAGATAATTACATTTTTATATTATTATTATTTTTTATATTGACATCAGCAGTAAAGTGGTGATTGCGAGAACTATTGATTGACGTGTCAAACTCGTCGGACTTCATCGCTTTGCTGCTGAAATGATATTCGCTTCCAGTCGTTAGTCTCTGATTTCAGTTGTCGTCTCTCAGTCTTTTCCTCATGAGTTATACATTTTAATACATTAGATACGTAATTGTGAAAGTCGTTACACCCTCCGAAGTACTCAAGTGCAATTTTTTTTCAATTATCAATTTAAATCGAGTCACAAATGAAACGTTGAATTTGACACTCGACATCTTTGTCGAGATAATTATCGCATCTGAAGAGGCAAATCTGAGAAAATACGAGTATTTTTCACTGGATTCACATCTCCATGTTCCTCGAGTCGTTCATCACGCGATTCAAAAAAATATATCTCAAATAAAAACGTAATGATGAAAAACTGAATTACACCCTTTGGATTCCTGAAGAGTTGCAATAAAAAAAAATGTCGGTTGGGATAATTAAAAAGTTGCACCCACCGTAAGATGCGAGTGTGAGGAGGACCTGGGGGTTGAGGGTACGAGGGGATGATGTTGAATGAAAGGAAGTAGGCTCTCGATAGTTTCTCGTCGACGGTGCGAGTTCCATTTTCTCTACATTTCGGTATGAGGTACCGGGTAAAAGTGCAATTTCCACCCGAGGATCATAATTATTTTGGGCTGGTAGTCCTTTAATTAACGGGCTCAGTGGGTAGACGGTAAAGGGTCGGGAGTTGAGGAAAATACAGATATAGCCCTTCGTCAACCCATCCGCCCAGAAAATAAAGAGGTAAAATTATGAGAGAGAGAAAAAAAGATCCTAGAGTTAAAATATAGATAAAAGTAATATGTATGGATGGTGCAGAGAGCAGGCAACATCGTACATACCTATTATATATATAATAAAAGTCTTTACGTGATGGGGGAGGGGGTGAGGGGGTAAATCGTGCTTCCGAGAAGATTCACACGCGATCGCGCGATAAACGTTTCCATCGTTTCCCTCACTCTTCGAAACGGCCCATTACCCACCGCCTCTCGTAGCTTTATCCTCTTTAAGAAAAAGATCTAGAGGAATGCGCGGATTCAAAGTATTCTACCGTTAAAAGTAAAAAAAAAATGAAAACGAGATCAAATAAGTCGGACGTAAGAAAATAAATAATAAAAAATCAAACCGCTTTTGATATCGACATTCCAGTGGTTGGATCATTCTCTCTCAGAAATTCTAGGGGAATCGCACCAAGAGGGGGCTAAATGTGTAATCGAGGGGGTGGGCGGGGGGGTTTGTCGACAAGTCAAACATTGCTCTCACGTAGCATCAATTTAATTGAGAAACTTGAAGATTAGAATACACTCGTTGAAGACAAACAGAACAAATGGTAGTGGAGGGATTATACAATTACCGAGTAAAACTCACCCCTCAACCCTCTCAGACCACCCACAACCCCACCGGCTTCCACGTTTATCGTTTGTTTTATCCTGGCATATATTGACTCAACTCGTATTCCAAATAAATGAACGAGTCAGTTAAACCGTACAGCGATGCAAAATGCTGGTTCAGGTGTTTTCAATGAAAATTTTGACGGGTTTTGGGTGCTACCCCTCCGGGAATTGTTGTCAGGACTGGAGAGGGAATGATATTATTATTAACGAATTGCCGACGAGGGGAGAAATTAATCCGTATTTTTTTTTTTCTTCGTAATCGTAAGGTCTAGGATTTAATGTGCGTACAAAAAAGCTTCGTGGTGCGAGGGTACGAGATTTAAAAGATTATTATTAAAGAGATAATTAATGGAGAGACGGATGATAGTTACAGTGGACTCCTGTCAATTTTAAATTTATACCACTGAATTTTGCACTGAGGACAAATATATTTTTGACGGGGATATGAAGTTCTTTTGTGTTTTCACCAGATGAAAGTATTTCAAATTGTTATTATTGTTGCTTCAAATTATTTGACGTAGTGGAAATAAAGGATAAATAAATGATAATCAAATTGGTGGACTTGTAATGTTGAGGAGTCAATCCTTGGGTTGAAATATATTCATCTCTCAGTGTTATTTTTCAGATACATATGCGTGAAGCACTTTTCATCGAGTTAATTGAACTCAATTGTTTCAACGGTTCAAGCATAACTCAATGGAGATTGCCATTGCACTTGTTAGTTTTAACATTAGAGCGCATTATCAGATAACCGTTTAATTAATGGTTTATTCTTAACGCTGAAGGGTGCACGGTAAAAATGTGTACTCGAAGTATATTTTGTACTTAATTCAAGTGTACTTTATACTATGTTCATTTCGGTGAGAATAATATCGAGTGATTTTTTTTTCTTATTTTAAAGCTCAAAATCTTCAAATTAAAAAATTAGTGATGGTTTTGAAGATGTTCCATTTTGAGTACAACTTATATACTTGAATTGAGTACATTAATATACTGATTTCGAGTACTTATTTGAAACTTAACGTACTTGAATCAAGTATATATTTTTCTCCGTGGATGATTTAAAAAGGTGCAGTTAAAAGTGTTAAATTGGGCTCGAGGACGACCCAAAGGTTTGCCTATCCCTGACGGATCTTCAACGTCCGTACGTGCTTGTCCTCGAGCCCGAGGTGCGCCCATACACGGGACTTACGTGTAATCACGACATGATTTCGAGTCTACTCTGTACCATGACACGTATATATCCTCAATCACTTGTCTTACAGCTCATTATTTACCCTTTTTTTACATCATTAAAATACGTTGTTTTACCTCGGCAAATCCCCCGCCATGTTCTCAGTGCGTAATTTTTTTTTACATACCCTCCCCCATTTTTTATCTCAAACGGGGGATTAATTGCCATCGCGAAATCCCGAGGTATACAGTCACGTACAGAGCTTACCCGACTGTCGAGTTTTCATGTGTTCGCACCAAAAAATATGAAAGCGAAAAAACGTGATTTTTTTATCGTTTTCTCATTTTTTTTTTTATTTATTGTATTTTTCGCCTCCCGTTTTGTCTAGTTTGAATATCGTCTGTCACACTTGCAATTATAAATTCCTCTCGCGTGTGCCTGATCCTACTTAAAGCTCATTGTTTTCTTTCAATATTCCCCGCCCTCATCCTCATTCCTATTCACCACTTTTCCTCTCAAATCCCATCATCCACCGTTGCTCGTCCGCTGAAAAAACTCAGCTCTCTTGAATTTTTTTTTTAACTCGTATAGTTCGGTCACGATAAATGCAAGAAAAATATTCAATGAATATTCATTATTATTAGTAATATCGAGATGAATGATAGTGGAGGGAAAATTATGGCCGAAATGGCGAATGCCGAGTCTTCTATTTTTTACTTATTTCTTCAGACACTTTTCTTACTGTCTTTTTTTTTGCGAATGGGTTTCTCGATGCAATTCACGATTTTCGGTAATTGGAGATTGTACAGAAGTTGTATTCCAGAGAAATAAACTCATTTCGTGAAAATATTCTTTGTTTATTCATTTTTTTCACCCCGATCCCCGATTTTTTCCTCAATCCTCCACTTCAATTAAATCCTCGAAAAAAATATCATTTTCGTCAAATAAAATTTGAAGCGAAAATCGATTAGAATATATTTCAATTCTTCAAAATAAATTGTCACATTTTCTTGATGTGAAGGAGATAAAAAAAATTCTCAACTCATCATCAGCAGAATACGGAACGAACCAGCTGACAATGATCCCATCAAAGTCAGCCCAAAGAAACGAACACCGAATAATCGATTTCTTGTGCTCGATGCACATCAATGGCTCGTCCTCAAGGACTGACATCAGCATCGACTTCTTTCGTTGATCTAGATTTCAGGATAAAATCAACATGGAACGAGGAAAATTGCAAGGGCAATTGTAATGCAAGAAGGATGAAAGTTCATGGGAGGTAGCATTTCATCTCCGTCAGACGATCTTTGGTACTGAGTGTCAAGGCTATAAATGCCCTCACCAGCAAATCTAACGGATTCTCCCAACGAGTTTCGTCCAATCACAAGATTGTCACTGCAGTCAACCAAGTCCCACAAGAAGCGCAATGAGAATGGAAAAACGGAAGAGTTTGGAATCGGTTAATTCAACTTGAGAGTTCACTGTGTCTGGCGATGTAACGTTGAAGAAAAGAAGCTGTTACTGGACTTGCTACATTGATGAGCAAGCGGAGTAACAGACTCCTCGATTTGGTGGTGAGTTCTTGTGATCGTCTGAACGAAAAAGAGAGTATTTGGTTTGGGCGGAGAGCTATAATGAAGAATGTACAGCTAATCGGGGAGGGACTGACGGACAAACGGAAGTCGACATGATGAAAAAGATGTTACTGCGGTCAGAACTGGATGCGATAATTTTGTGGTGGCACGCCACAAAAAGAATTCACCTTTCTGATTCCAAAACGGATGCAGGAGAATTAATTGTTAAGAAATGCAATTCAGTTTGAGGAAAGACATGAAGAACTTTTTAGACGACTAGACCTCGTATTCTTTGGAGACTTTAATTCCACAAGTACAGAAATGTCTGAGTGAACATGTTGAGTGCGACGATGGACTTTTCGGGCTTTACGTAGAGATTCTTATTGAAATTTCAACTTGTCTGGTGACTTGGATATTCAATAATGGGTATCGATGTTGTAGGGTTTTGGTATCGACGTTCGTCCAGCAAAGATGAGGGCTCAGAAAGCTAAAGCTACTAAGAGAACGAGAGCGGAAGTAACGAAAGACGAAATTGATAGCGAGGAAAGTGGAGACCTGCCTGATGCAGTTGATTAACGGTAAGCGGTTTTGCTTTGGTAACATGATTGGGCATTTCTTCGTGTTGGGCTTCAAAATATGAAATATGTTCATTTGTCAGGAATAAAATCGATATCTTCTCATTTCTTCTACATGACGACCTACATGAATACATTCTTCAAGACTTGCAAATTCGCTTCGATAATTTATTTACTTTATAATTCAAATACTGGTGGTAAAAAAAATTATTAACAAATTGCACGAAACTTTTCTTGTTAATTAATCAATATATTTTATTGTAATTCAGTGACGAGCCATCGATATCTTTACGCGTGTCGAAAATAAAAGTGAATTCTGTTGAAAAAAAAAACGAGAAGATTTATCGTAAAGTCTAAAGTCAATTAACGACACAAAAATACCGTCACGACGCCTCGGAAAAATTGTCCATTGTCTAGATTTAGATTGAATTTAGAAAGATTTAATTCTGTCTCTGTTAACGATATTGTGATATCCTGAGACGTCAGTCACCGCGGACTAATTAAAATTTTTTTTCATCTACCGCAGTGGTTTCATTCGAAATTAAAGAAAAGAACGAGGACACGACTGACGTAATACAGTTAATCAATGAATCACTTTTTTTTTGGTCTTGCACTTTGAGAACGGCAAGAAGGGAGGATTACGTGATGAGGTATAATGAGATTTTGGACGATAGATCGGCCATAAGGATGCACTGCAAGAATTTGAAGTAAAGTACTGCAGAAGAGGGGGTGAGGGGTTTCTGGCATCGGCAAGAGACTTGTTAGTTACTGCCTTGGTGAGGTAATTAACCCGAAACTTTAAATTATTAAAGTCCCTCGTTAGTTTCCATATCACGTTCAGCTGCAGGGCTGGCCCTGTCTCTCCGATATATGATCATGGACTTCAACTATACAGTTGCATAAAATTTAACCCCCAGCCGAATTTTTTTTCCACGTAGCAATTTGACGGAGGGAAGAAAGGGATAAATTATACCTTCGTGTTCTTCACTAATTTCGCGATTATCCGCGGAATGAGTGGTCTCATAATTTTCTTTTGTGGAGTATAAAATTCCCCATAGAATTATCTACAAACGGCACGGACTAAAATTCCCCTGAAAAATTCCACTTCCATTTAAACAAATGAAATTAAATTCCTCCTGGTATAATTTCTGGGTTTTTAACCAACAATTTATTTTGGTATATCAATCCGTTGCTCATTCCGATCATCAAACAAATAAAACTACTCATTCTAAAAAAAAAGCACGTCCAAATATTTGACAATTAATCCAGAGTGATGTACCAACGTCAAAGCACGTCCCCAAAGTAAATTCCCTCTGTCCGATACTATTGTCCCCAGTGAACAAATCCTGAATTCATCAAACAAAATTCATTTATACCATTTTCTCATATATTTTCCCTCAAAATCCGTCAAATGAATCACCCTGGAGAAGTATAAACACGACAAAATGGCACGTCCCCTATTCAAACGAATCCCTTGTTTTCGAAGTAACAGCAAAAATGTACAAATGTAATTCGAGGGTTGAAAATGTTTTGGTAATTGTTTGATGATACAATGCGCCCTCCACGTTGAACTGATAACGAGCTCGTGAACTCTAACTGAGTATTCAAATTAACTTGCATAACTCAATAAGATACATCAGTGGAAAATAGAGAAGGATGAAGTACAAAGTGAGGGTTGGAGTGGTCTCTGGTGAGGGGTTGGGGTGGAAAAACAATGCGTACCCCCTGGAAAGGGGAGGGCCAACTGGAATTGCGAGATCGGAGAGGAAACCTAGCAAAAACATGCATATATTTCCATATAACAGCAGGTTTATATATTAAAACCGTCACTGGCAGCGCGTGGTTACATTTGAATGCGTTGTCCTCACGCCAAGTATAATATCAAATTACTACACGTTCTGGCACACTAATTCGATCCCTCCCACCCCTCAATGTACAAGTACATGAACAATAAAAACATGATGCAAAAACTGCTTCAGCTATTTCAGCACTCTTTTTTTTCTGGGCTCTCAATGGGCCCTTTGTAATTACGCAAATTTTTCGCTCAGGATTTTCTGCGAAAATACTTTATAATCATCCACTGAGAGATGTCGATGAAAAAAAATTAAAAATGAAAAGAATATTTTGTCCAGAACTTATTAAATTTTTCAGAACCTATATAACTCTTTAAATTTACTTAATTAATTTTGATGATTTCAATTAGACCGCGGAAAATTCGTTTTTGACAATTTTGAGATGAAAGAGAAGTAGTTCGGCCTTTTGGTCGGATGGAACGCCAATAAGTTCTGGGCAATTACTAAATGGAGAAAAAAAAACAAATTTAACGAAAGAACAAAACGAAATATATTCTTTTGCCAACAAATAACAACAAAAGCCGCTCACTGGAACACAAACAACCAATGAATGAACAAGCAAATCCGTGCCCTCACATGCCCCAGAGCAATCGCCTACTCTATTTGACCCTATTCCCATTTCATCCTAGTGCTTTTTTCGAAATTGTTTCAAGAGGAATGCATGCAAATCTTCGTCACGCTAACGAATGGCAAATCACGAATACGATTTGACCTGGGGGGATTAAAATACCTAGAGACTTGTATCGAGTACCTGTCGAGCTAGAATTTCCTCGAGAGAGTTCGAGGGTGGGAGAAAAATAGATGAGGGAAGAAAAAAAACATTTTCCAAACTCCTGCCAAATGTTTTTTCGTGGCACAAGGGAGTCGTTACGTCTATCTTATTGGCAGAGGTGCCCCGAGACGAAATAACCGATTGGTTGTGAGATTTTCAGCATTCATTATTTTTATTTTCATTTTTTTGATGTGCTTACTTTTCAATTCAAATAGAATTATCATTAATCTATCAATTCATAACTTTCTAATTAACTATGTAATCATATTTCTAACACTACTATTCAAATTATTGCTCCTCTATTCTTATTAATTATTTTAAAAGAAAGAATAGGAATAGGACTTAGAGAGCTGACAGTGTTAGCTGACTCGAAGTGACAGCGATTTTTTAAATAAGGACTCGATTGATAAAGCTAGCAGATCAAAATTTTGTTTAATTTTTAGTATAGTTGCATAGAAATTAGTGATTGTAGTGTCTTTTACTTTTGCGGGTTGTGTGGATATTTAAAAGTATTATTAAAATTCACTCACCCTTAACCGCAGATCGTTGACAGACCACACGCGACTGGCAAAATCATTAGAAGCTCCAAGGATTAACGTTCCAGTTGAGTCGAAATCCACAGACATAACACTAGCATTGCTTCCCACAAGCATCCCCTTGCTCTCGTACGATCCTGCACAAAAATAACATCGCAACTTGAATAAATATTCGCGTGTTAATATCCCGAATAATTTGTAAAAGTCTGAAGTCAAATGATTGAACTTAAAAAAATAATCCTCCAAAGAATGCAAATTTAATAATATTGTGATTCGATTGTGATAATTGAAACCCAGAGGGGGAGAGATTTAAAATGAAAGAATTTTTACCTTTGGATATATCCCACAGTTTGACTTTTCTATCAGCACCACCAGTTGCTAATATTCTATCTACTGGAGACCACTTAACAGCACTAACCTCTCCATCATGAGCACTCTGCAAGTTTAATCGGTTTTCAAAATTGCACTCCCGCGTAAACACATAAATAATTGTAATAACTCTGAGGATTATGTTTAGGTAAATCGTTAATTTATCGTGAACACGTACGAATTTAATGTAGACGTTGGAGGGAACCGCTGTTGTTATACCGAGACCATCTTTCAAGCTGAGTCTGTCAGGGCTGATTGCCCTGGTATCTCTAGCTGCGTCCTCAAGGTCTTTCTGGACCTTGGCTTGCCTTTTTCTGAACAGGAATCGGGACTCAATAATTATTTCTCCAGATAGAATCCACAGACAATCTTTTGAGTGTTTAAAATGGAAATATCCAAACTTTAGACTTTGTTAGGGGCTTCTAACAGTCTAGAAAAATTTAACGTGGACACGTCGTTCATGTTTTACTCCGGGATATGAATTCGCGCGAACCATAGGTTCTTAGGATATCGTATGGCGAAGCAAACACGATTGTATCTAGCGAAATTGAGATTTCTTAATTCTTCCATAGAATTGTTTCTCAAAGTTCTGCTTTATTCCTGTTCAATCTCCGGTATCATTGATGTAGATCCGATCCGCGTGATTGAATTTTTATAGATGATTCGCCGAGGGATATAATGTCGTGCGGATCGTAGAGAGAAGCCACCAGAATTGTATGGAGAATCGAAATGAGCCAGCGAGATCGGTCTCTCCGGAGACCTGGAGATTTTTTAATTCTCGAATGGAATTATTCCTCAAGATTCTCCTATTCTGGTGTAGACGGCTCTGTTCTGCTTCTCTCCGTTCCTCCCCGTCAGTCTCCGTCGATCTCCTCCGCGTAAATGACTGTTTCCCCAAAATTTCCTGGGATATATCAACTCGCACGGACCTCAACGACAGCCCCTCCACTGAATTAATTTTCTAAAATATTCAGTTGAAGGGTGAAAATTTGTGATTGGTGCGGCGATTGGAGCCAATCACATGAGGCTAAACTTTTAACCCCCCACCATGAGCCTATCCGCCAATCACAAATTTTCACGGCATTACGACAATTTACAAAAGGGACTGCAATACCGGAGAGTTTTAGTTCTTGGACCACTTCGGAAGGCGTATGGATTGCAGTGGAGAAAAATCATTTCGTTCGGTTTCCTGAAGACTACGACTTCTCCAGTACAACTTTACACTTGAGTTCGTCAACGATCGGATAGATTGCGTTGTCTGCTGCAGAGAGAGCCCCAAATAACCTCCCGTATCGGAAACAAAGACGTGTCCACGCCAAAAGAAACCAACTCTTTTCGTTTTCAAGATTCAAGGTCAAACATAGTTTTTACTCAATGCTGAGAGAGTCGTTTGATATTAATAAATTCAAAGCCATTCGGAAATTCGTGCTATAATGTCCACAAGCTGTAAAATCTAATTCTTTAAAATTATTCAAAATGAATATTTCATTGGATAATTTTCATTCAACTTAAGGTTTAACATTCGATTTTACGAAAAAATATCATGCAACAACTCAACTCGAAATCAATCAGCTATAAGCATTCGTATCGATCATGAAATCTCGGTTAATTGTGGGAATAGTTTAAAGTTTGAAAATTTTTTTGGTTAGAGATTTTTATATCCAGTGACGAATTGTCGTGAATTATGTGATTGTTGAATGGTAAATCTGTCTCAGAAATCTGCGGTTGTACGAAAAATTGAAAATCTTTCATGCAGAAAATCCGAATTTCGGTTGATAAATTTCCAAGGACGACTCCTCTGAGCTCTAAATATGACCGTTTCCAATCCCATAAAGAGATTCTCGCTCCCAAAAAACAAGAATTAATGAATAAAATCATCCCCAGAAAAAAAAGTGAGTAGATAAATATTCACAATGAACTTTTTCAATATTTAAATTGCGACTCCACAAAAATACCTGTTACTTCATTTTTAAATAATTTCATTAACAATTAGATATTGAATTTTTTAATCATCAATTTAAAAACCTTTATTGGAATCTGCCGAGATCTAAAGCTCGTAGGAGTCTCCTGCGCCTCTAATATCCGGATATATTAAAAAATAATAACACAAAATTGATTTATTTACTTCCACCATTTGTCCATTATATCACCGAAAAATGTTGCATTAATGACATCGACCCCCAATCCGTTGATCACCAGCGAACATTACTCCTCTATGGAAGACCCTACTTTCAGCCAATGTAGAGCAAATTACCTGACACGTCCAATTAAAATACGATTTTTAGTCAAATGAGCGCTCAAATGATGATGAATCGATTTTAGTCAGATGCAAACGTATAATCGGGTTAAAAATTAATGGATTATGCGTTAGATTAAGCAAATCGCGCCTGATTATTCGTGTGGACTTACCCGAATTTCGATATTGTTTGCATCAAAAAGGCTGTCGGACTGGTAAAACCCTCGCTGAAATGAAAATTTCGATTTCGTGTGTAGTGTCTGACTCGCGATGTTAATCCTCATTCAGATATTTATTATATCAATTAATCATCTGCCACGAATTACTGCCTCTTAATAATTTGAATACTCTCTATTTATTTATACTTTACTGAAGTAGAGTCTTCCATAATTCGTAACGTGCTAGTCCCAACACAGATTTACTTTTCATACGTACTTCATGAAATTATCGTTTTCCTCGTTCATTTTCTCAGCGTCTTTGGCCTTGCATTTTATCACACGCTCCACCAATTGTCGGTTCTCTTCCTGAAATTACGACTTTATTATATCGTTTTTATTTTTTCCGAAGAAAAAAAAAACTGTCGTTTTGAATCATAAAAAAATAGAACAGTGAGGGAGTCATTGTTTTCGTGGGAAATCAAAAATTGTTGTCGTGAGATCGAAATCTTTTCGAATTTATTTATCGAATAATTAGAAGGTTTTCGATCTGGCTATTTTCCACAGTCAACTGCTGATTTCGTTGAGAGAGTTCAATTGAATTTACTTGTACTTTCCGAAGTTTCTCCTCTAACGAGGCAAAGGCCAGCTGGAGAGCTTGATACTCGTCTCGGAGCATTTGATTAACGCCTTCTAATTCGCGTTCTTTGTTCATGTACATTGTCAATTCAGCTCGCAAGGATGCATTTGACTCGAGGCTCTCGGCTAAACTGTGATGAAAAAACGAGAATTAATCAGTTTTACGAAGTTCTTTGGGATCCGCTGAGGCGTGAGAGACAATGGATGACTCATCAGGGGGAGAAATTTTTCATTACTCTTCCGAAATGGAACACTTTGGGGACACGATGAACCTCCCGGATTAACCATAATCAACATGCACAGGTAATGAATAAATATGAGTTATTATCTTTTTCATCTCTTTCCAATCTTTCCAATTTTTCATTCTTCTTTTCCAAAAAATGTTTCTTATTCTTTCCTCAATGAATTTGTTAAGAATAAATGCAGGTGTTATCCCCTGAAAATTAATTTCCCCCTCCAAGAGTCCAAGAGATATCGCGAATTTATTCTCAGGGTCTTTTTCTGTCGCGTAATCAGAGTAAAAGGATGAAATCAAGTAAAAAAAAATCATTCGTCTTAGCAAGTTGGATGAACTTTTCAACAAATAGACAAAATGCATTTCTCCACGGATACCTAGTCTCCTTGCTGAGGAGATCCTTGGTCATCTCCTGCAGTTTATTATTCAAATCAACAATCTGTTGTGTATGCTCTCCCCTCCTCTTGTGAAGCATTGTGAGTTCTTCAGCCTGTGCCAGTAGTCTTGCCTCCAAGGCAGCATTAGTTCCAGATGTGCCAGAACCACCGGCAACCTCACACCGTAATTTTTCATTGGCAACTGTCAAGTGCAAATTCTCACCCCTCAAAGTATTGGCATTCTCGAACAGCCGGTTATCTACAACAAATATGAATTAACCTCAAAATCCCCAGACACCTGCAATTATTCAAAAACTTACGTAAACATATGAGATCGTTGAAGCAGTATGTTTGCGATCTATTTCGATTTCTCAATTGTGATATTATACTTTTTCTCCAGTCCCTCGATGCTCCTGGAGAATAAGTTAAATCCGGTGTCTCAGTACCCGCCATCACGACATTTATTTATTTACTCAGTTTGCTAAATGAGTTGTTAATCAATTGGAGTGGGAGGGGGAGGGGTGATTAAAAAATTGGAAAGTTGGATTCGGGATAATTGAGGGATTTAGCCCGAGTCACTGTCACCACGCGGTTTTCATCACTCACAGAATAAATCACTGGGTGTCTTTTGACATGTCACTTGTCAATGCGGAAATCAGGGACAATTATGTCAAATTATTGTTTATTGTTGGGATAAATAGAGCTACTCTAACCTCAACATATCAAACCGCACTCCAATATTTCTGGGTGCGATTCTAAACAGTGGACGGTGGTGGGGGTAATCAGCTGGTGTTAGAGTTATGTTTGGTTGGCAAGGGGGAGAGGGCAGGGGATAGATGTCAGATATTTGTCAGCACAGATTTTCGAATTTTGGAGGGGCAATTTGAGTTTTTGAGAGGAAATGAGGAAACTGCTGTTTCTTTTCAATTATCGACTCGTGGTAATAACCAGAGAGGAAATTTTTGTACCGACCCGACGTAGAAATCTTTATGATTTTTATTTATCCGACCTTTCGAAAAATTCTCCACGTCAATCCGAATTTCTTAGTAACAAAAATCTGAATATATTTAATTATTCATTAAAATTTCATGTGACAACGAATTTTTATGAAGAATTTCTCTCTCTAATTCTTGAATCATTCCAATGATTTTCCTTAAGTTTAATCCCTTCTTTAATCCCCATTCGAAACCCCGCCGCAGGGGGGAGGGGGGTTGTCTCACCCCTGGATGCGTCCCGCCCTCCACAATTTTCAAAGAAAAATTTACCCAGAACTTTCGTCAACTCGAATTTTGAAAGCCATTGTATTTTCGTAATTTTCAAAGCTATCAAATGAAAAGAAAAATGCCGAGAGATACGTTTTTTTTGTCGGTTATTCGAAGATTCTGAGAGAAGGCCTTGAAGTCTGTCCACCTGACAGTAATTATTTTCATCTCTATTTGAAACCCCAGGGGACTGCAAACTTTTTCCCCAGCCCCCCGTGATTTCCAGATAAAAGAACATCCAAAGAGAGAAAAATATTCAAGCTTCTGGCAAATTGTCGAAATGAAAAATCATCCACTGGTCTTTGAAGGAATGAAAATGGAATGAAAATTACTGAATACTCCATCAAGCTGTAAAAATATAATTTGTTCTCATAACAAAATAAGACGATACATAGATACATAATTATTAAATTCAAAAACCTAGAGACAATAAATGGTCAGTGATTGGCGAAGATTTACCATTGCAATAAGATGAAAAATTGAAAACATAAATAAATCGGTTAAATAAAACTAATAACCAGTTTCTTCGATAATAAAACTAGTAAATTTTTCAAAAAATTACACAATTAATTGGACAAGACAATCTCTTACATAAATGCAGATACATAGGTACATGAATTTAAGGACCCAGTGAATTGAATGAGTTAGTGATTTACAATTGCGACAGGATTAACACAATTTGAAATCATCATCGATCTGACAAGACTAGTGGCCAGCTCATTTCACAGTAAAACCAGTGTCTTAAAAAATGACGTAATTGATTTATCACGATAATAACAAAGACTTCGGTGGCACATCGACGCATCCGTCCTCGTACTCTAGTGTCTCAGTATTTCTCCGGTAAAATTCACAGCAATCTGGACAGTACTGAGCATGACAAACAAACATCAGTGGATGTCTACAACTGGAACAAATTCTCTGATTCGGTCGCGGCTCCGATATCAAAAAGTGCCGATGAATTTCCACAGCCTGTCTCTCACTCCTCCCCGGATCCATAAATTTACGTTTTGAGCACGAAATACAGTAGTCACCACCCCAGAACAATGTGTAATTCATTTTGTGACAGTAAAAGTCTGTTATCTTTTTGGGTACGTCACAGGTTTCACTGACCTCCGGCATTATGGCACTCAAAGTCACTCCCAGCAAATGCTCCGAATTTTCTATTTAAAAAATATTCCAACTCCAAAATCTGTCAGACCTCCGACTAGCGGATGTCACACTCACTTTTCTTGGCTTATCTATTTTATTGCGGTGCTGCCAATGGTGACAGTTGGTTTATGACTGGGGAGCCATTGGTTGTTGATTTTTCTGTCGTGTCAACCAACCCCCGTCATCCCCACTTTTTTTCTCGTGGCAGCGCCATCTGCTATGAATGTCACTGTCAAAAATTTTCCGAAAAAATGTACGAAGAATTTTTCTTAGAAAATCCAGAATTTTTATTTATCCCATTATTTATTTCCTCGTTAAATACTTTAACAAGAAATTCATCCTGTGGGATTTCAACAGGAATGATTGTAACAGAATGGGGAAAATGAAATATGCCAAAGCAGAAAATAATTCTCACAGGAGATAATTATTCAGAAGTAATTTCAATTGATTCGCGGCATACGTTAAAAAAGATTTTACAATTAATTACTTCGGTTTTATCCGAAATTCACAGGAGTAATGAATGAGAAAAGTTCATCATGAGTTGATGAATGTGCATGTGTTTCAATGATAGCAGCAATGATCCTCAGGGTCTCTTAGGCCTGTCGATTTTCCAAGCACCAATGGTGTACCTCAGCCAGATCAATCCCAAGTCTCTACCCATTTGCAACCAACTCCAGAATGGAACGACCTTGGAGCCCTCGATCTCCGTCCAATTCACACAAATCTCTTTGATAGGAATGTTCAGGGTCTGGGCGAGATACAGCATCTCAACGTCGAATGCCCATCGCTCCACGTGCAGAGCTCGAAATATTGTCCTCGCGGATTCACGTGTGAGAAGTTTAAATCCGCATTGTGTGTCGCGAATTCCTCTCACACAAAGGACCCACACGAGAAAATGAAAACCGTGCATCAAAATCAATCGGAAAATTGATCTTGTCGCTGTTGCTTCTTCCTCTAAATGCGCTCTTGAACCACAAATTACTGCATTGGAGAGAGAAGCCTCGTGTGGATTCTCTGTATAATCAACTGAAACCGAAAAATTCCATGGGATTACTACAATTAACAATTTTTTAACAACAGTAAACTAAAATAATTTTAATTTCTTGTAAAAAAAAATTAGGGAGGAAGTCAGAAAATCATTATTCGAAATACAATGAGTAGTTCTCACATTTCAATACTTCTTTGAGACTTTCTTCTAATTTTTCAATATCCCGGAATTGTGTTGCACCATCCGCATCGGCGAATAATAATAAACATCCTCTGGCACTCTGCATTCCCTAGAGGAGATAAATAATAAAAGAAAAATTAATTCTGATGAAACAACTCACTCAGTTGAACAGGAACAAGTGCAATACTCACTAATCTCACAGCTCCACCTTTCCCTCGATTTTTTACGAGATCTAGGACTCTCACAGTATCATATTTTTCTGCGTAGCTTTGAGCTACTTGCACTGTTTTGTCTGTACTCCCATCACTTACGACTATAACTTCATAAGTTAGGCCGGATTTTTTCCTCGTCTCGAGGTAGTCCAAACACTCATCCAACATCGGAGTTACTGGAAAACATTGCAATTCGTGTTGAGTAGGATAGAAATAATAGAAGATTTAATTATTGTATTAATACTCACGTCTTTCTTCCTCATTATACGCTGGAACAATTACACTGAGTTTAACTGTGAATTCATCATCAATCGAGGGAAATGGAACTTTTCTCCCTGTTTTTCCATCAATAAAGAATTTTTCATTTTCGTCTCTCCAAATCCTGGGGTATGGCGATGTGACAGCATACAAGAATATACAAAACTAGAATTCAAGACAAGTCACAAAGTTTATCTTGTATTCTTCATACCATTGATATTGACTAGATAATAATCCAGTGGAAACAGAGATTATAAAAAATTTGATGGCCCCAGGAAATGACTGTCGCTAATATTTTTTAATCGTAAAAAATCAAACAAATTCCGATAAATGATTTAGAAATGTCATTTAAAAATTAGAAATTAATTTTGCATTTCCCCAGTGAATATTTAATTGATATTTTACGAGGGAAATTGAGGGATCAATCATGTGACAACAATGAAGCATAACCTTGTCGATTAAATAAACTTACTGCTAAACTGGAAAACAGCACGAATGCAAGGAGACTGATAAACAAAGTGAACAGTGAAATCATCGTAGAACTTAAGATTTAGTAGTAAATAGGTATAAATATGGTAGACTCAAAAAATTCTGTGAAATTCATTCCACGTCACTTGGAAAACACTTGCTACACATAGGGGACTGTCATGCTTGTGGATGTGAGGAGTTTTACACTTGCCGGGTGATTGTGGGAGTTTCGAAACAAATATTTGAACTCTATTCTCAAAAAATCTCCCTGAAATATTACTTGATACTAGAATCTGTTACATTTTCAAAACATTTAGAATTTTATTCTCAGTTTTTTTTCCGAATTTTTTTGCAAATGGCTATCCTCTCATATTATAATTTTAGCATCGATTCCGACTTGGGAACGAATATTCACGAGAGACATTTTAATTTTCTTATTTATTGTTTTGTTTTGAATATTCGAGACGTTTATCTGACGTTTCTGCAATCTGTTCAGCGTTTTAAAAATGCAAATTCCATGGAAGAAAATGTGAAAATGTCAGCGGAGATTCCAGAAGAGCCTCTTCGTAGGCCGAGATTTCGATTGTTCGTTCCAGGAACTCCCAAAACCCACAAACAAGCCGCAGCAGAAAGATTGCAAAAGGTGTCCAATCCTTCAGAATCAACAGACAATCCTAATGAGGATCCCTGTGAGAAAAGAGGCGAAGCCCAGGAGACAGAAGTCAAGTTCAAACCAACCGTTGGAGTAGATCCCAGGTGAACGCATCTCGATATTAAAACAAATTTCCACATCATCGACAATTCATAATTTCAGTTTTGATCAGATTTGTACTATCAGTTCTACCGATTTATATTTGTGTCAGGTTTCAACAGCAAAATCAGACCTTGAGATGTTTCGTGATGTACACAGACTTCTTCAGGTGTGAGAAGATCCTCGGAGAAGGGCATGAGGCTTGCAGCTGGTTCAAACAGTGTTACCAAACAATTTGTCCTAACGATTGGATCAGACACTGGGACGACCTGCGTAGTCAGGATTTGATGCCTTGGTCCAAGGCGTATTACAAAGCAGCCCAAGAGGCAGAGCGACGAGATTCCGACAAATAGGAACATCAAAAAGATTTTCTCTCGTATTTTTTCCAAAGTATCGAAATAAAGAATCATTCATTATCTCAAATTATTATTCATTCATTTATTTATCCCCCTGGAAAGGATCACGAGGTTCCACCATTGAATAAATAACACTCATCTACGAAAAAATATTAATGATTTTATTATACAGGTACAGGAGTTAAATTTCCGTGAGGTATATAGCTATTTGGAAAATTAAACTTAAAAAAAAAATTATAAAAATTAAACCGACAGATAGAATAACTTCGTTAACTCAAATAAGTACTCCTATGATTCCTCGTCTCGATCATCTGAGCTAGTTAAAAAAAAAATAGAATGATTTCCTCGCATGAAAAATGTTCTCCACTGTCACGTTCACTCTTAAGTCACTACTAGACAATTTATAGTACTCACACGCGAAATCATTACGTATCAACCCTGATTAAAGTCTTCACAATATAACATACATTAAAAAAATAATAATAATAATAAACAAGTAATTGGCAAATAATGTCACCAGTGAATTTGGTTTTTTGGAATGAGACGAGATATTTTTTGTTCCTCTGGCAAAAAAACTTAGAAACTATGAATCAATGGCCCGGTGGATTATCCCTTGGGTTTTAATCCCCTTTCTAGTGTTCACAGCCCAATTTTAGGTGCAAAAATCAGGGGCAGATAAATCCAGTCACTGTTTTTCGTTTTTTTTTTATGAAGACAACTTACCATCCAGTGGAGTGGAAATCGCCATAAAAAATAAATCGTTGAAACTCAAAAGCTGATGATTTATTCATCTTCAAGAAGGATTTATCTTCTTATCTGCTGAGCCTGAAAATTCGATGGGATTATTTAGATTTATTCGATTATAATAAAATGCCTGAGTGATAATTGGATTGGGTGAAGTAATAAAACATAACGATTGGATCTTTGAGTTATCGATGGATTAAAGATCTCGAGAATGATTTTTACATTATCATGATGAATCAATGAGAAGCTAATTAATTTCTTCTGTAGATGACGGGGGTGGGGGTGAGATCTAACGCTGAAGGGCCCCTTATTAGACTCTAGAACCACCTTACGTATGTAAAAAAATCCTAGGAAGTTGTAGAACGATCTAACGCTGGCTTCTAGGTTCGAGATGATTGTAGAGGCATTCGTCGTCCTTGCAGACGCCAGTCAGCTCGAAGGGACAGAGCTCACGATTACAATCGATGTGTCTATTGAAAATATACAAAAACCACAAAATATGCCCTCAGACAAATAATCAGCAAATTAAAATTAATCATCGAATGAACAAACGAATAAATCATCAACAAATTTTAATTGAAATAAACTAATTAAAATATATTGACTTGGAGAATGAAACAATGATTTATGATGAAAATTCCGGTAAAAATTAAAGACATGGAAACACCCACCTAGGTGTTCTGATACTCGTCAGAACAGACTCATAGGAACTAGCCAAATGTGAGAGCCTCTCAGTGGATTCATCTGGAGATGTCCCCCCAGCACTGGAAAGCCCTGGATTCACCCGAGGAATTTCCACTGTACTGTCACTCAGGATCATAGCCTCACCCTGGCTCTCCTCCGTTGATCTGGAAATGACAACTCCAGTGGCATTATCACACTGTTCTGCTTCACTGTTAACGTTATCACCATTCCCGTTTCTCTGATTACAACTGCCAGTGTCTGTACACAATGTTCTCGAATTAATCGATTGTCCACTAGCACTTTCTGTTTCATTATTATTATTATTTTCACATGGCACTTTTTTCTTCGATAACTGTCGCGTGCGGTATGCAACTTCCTTCAAACTATCCATCATCAATTGTGCACCAGTCGAGGGTACCCTGAGGAGAAAGATAATAATTTATTATTTTCCAGACGTTCTAATTGTGAATTCCCTCTTTTTATTTTCTACGTGTTGACTTGGAGGGCATGAATCGGAGGATTAAAAATAATTTACTTGTACTGCTGTCCAACAACTTTCGTCCCAATGCCCTGGCAGAGTTTTGTGAGCTTGAAGCACTCGGTGCGTCCATCACGGATCATTTTGTGGGCATTTGTCACTTTTGGCCCTATGCTATCGATCTTCAGCCTCTGCTCCATCAGTCGCTCTTCAGCGACTGCCACTTGAGCTCTCAATCTTCGTAATTCAGCGGACAGATTCGTCTGGAGCTCGCGCTCCAAATCCAACTGCTTCAGAGTACTTGACATCTCAGCTAAATCGTCAAGTACTGAGTACCTAAATCCATGCAAACGTTCATTTTTTTCTCCTCTATCCGCTTCGTGAAAAATTCTCAATATAAATTATTGCAATTTTCCATCTATATTAAAAAAAAATTCTCATCAATAACATTCCATCGTAAAAAATTCAATCACCTTTTAGTCACCAAATTCTTCTCAAATTCTTTCAACTTCTCCTTCTGCTGTTCATCATTCAAGCTCGCAAGACCCTCCAACTCCGCCTTAACATCAGACTTGATCTTATCAGACTGTTCCTTAGTTGGAGACTTGCTTTTGGATTTCAGCGGAGATTTGGGAGCCTCTGGTCGTTCCACGACAGTATCATCGAGAACAATAGTCGAATCACCAGATTCCCTGGTGACCTCTCCCTCCTCATCCTCTCTGGGAGGTAGAATCACAGTGGATGCTTCAGAATCCACTGCCAGAGATCCTCCATCACCTGATTCCTGAGTCGTCTGATCACTCGACTTCTCAATCTCTCCCAGACTCAACTCTTTAGTCGCCTCTTCTCCCTTTCTACTTTCATTATCATTGGTATCATTGATCTCGAAGTCACTGCACTGCAAAAGCTCTCCAATGGACTTATCAGCACCTTCACCCAGAGTGACAGTTCTACCCTCTTTTCTCAGCTGAACTTGCACGAATTTTGAATTCAGTTGATCGGTCGTGAGAATTCTCAGGGCCGATGGACCTTTCGGAGAATTTCCCTCTGAATTCTCTGGTTTATCGAAGACTATTCGACCCCCTGCTGTCACATTGTCGTTTGGAATCTGAATACTGAGGTTCGTCATGGGTGTGGATGATGAACAGTTATTGATTAACTGATCAGTTACGCAAATTTTTGGGGACAACGATTGTGAGGATTTTTTACAGGACTTGTCGTTGATTTTCTTGGCAGTCGTGAGTTTAGGGATTATTGGGGCTTTGGAAGGGGTTTTAGGGGTGGAGGCTTCTGATGGCTTTGAAAGGGCTGATGGAAGTTTTGGAGTAACTGATTTGATCGCGGGTTTTGAGATGGGACTTGCAGGGGATAATGGACTTGGTGGGGTATTTATTATTTGTCTAGTCGCTCGTTGTCTCTCCTTTTCCAGAATTTTCTGCTTGAGGCGTTTGTATTCTTCTTGTTGGGATGGAGGGAGATGACGAACCGCCTAAAAGAGGAAAAAATATTCTCAAACATGCGTCATTCTGTGGATATTCCCAAGTTGATGTAAAATGTAAAAAATACTCCTGAAATTATTCAGAATTATTAAAATTCTGCAAAAACCTCAAATGTATTGAGAAAATTCGAAAAATATTAGAACAACCGAAAATAAATAATCAAATAAATAAATGAGTGCCTGCAGAATATTTTTCAATACTTTCCCAAAAAAATTGAATCAAACATTAAATTCCCATTACAAATGAATTAATCACTCCATGACCCAAAAAATTTATAATCTCACCAGAGGTGTTCCACTGAATCCAACCGTTTTCACGATCTTCGGAGTATTAGCCGGTGTCGATGTGGCATTAACCGAGCACCTAGCCATGGTCTCCTGCTTCTTTCTCTGTTCCTTGAGGAATTGTTCAACACTGGTCTCAAAATCGGTCGTTGGTATCGTCAGGACATCCCTCTGAACCCTCGGAGGCACCTGTCCTCTCTCCTCCCCAGACTCACTCTCAGAGTCCTCCCCTAGCTTAATAACAAGACTCTGAACCTTTCCTTTCATCTTGGGACTGACTGGCCTGGCCTCCTTCCCCTTTAAATTCACCAACTTGAGATTCTGGGTATTTAAATTACCACTCGAATTGCCCACTTTCCCCTGCGCCTGGAGTATCATTTTCTTCTGCATCATAGAGTTCTGAATTCTCTTCGCATTATTAACGACCTTCGTACTCACAGGAATCGCAGCTTTCCTAAGGATTTTCTTCGGTGGTCCCCTGATAACCGAAGGGTTCAATCGTTTTCTCCCTTCAACAGTTAGCATCACGTTCCTCTGGAGCTCATGATCCAATCGAGTGATTCCCAAAGGCTTGAGAACTGCTCCCAACGTACTATTTTGTGTGGCAATTGTCCTCGAGGGCTCAGGATTAGCTGGAGGAGCTTCACTCATCGGTTTACTCTCAGTAATAGAACTCCTAGTCTTCTCAATCAATTCACACCTCTTTTGAACCTTCGGCGCCCCTTCAGATCCCTTCAACCCCTCATCAGATCCTCTCCCCACACCCTCTCCAGTCTTCGGACGTTTCGCCAATGAAGCCAAAAGAATAGCCCTCAATGTCTCCTCGTCCTCCTCAATACTATTCCTCCGTTTCTTATCATTTCCATCGTTCCCAGTTGTCTGAACATTCTCTTCATTCTTCTTTTGTTCATTATCACATTCCCTCGGCGAACTCTCTCTCGAAAATTCAATCACCGAAGCATTTGCCTCGTTCTCTTTTCCCCTCCCATTGGATTCACACCTTTTGGGTATCGATTCTTCTCGTTCTGAACATCTAGCATTCTCGGATGAAATTACCTCAGGGTTTGTTCCATCCCCAGGAGCTTCAGAGTTCGAGGAAAGGCTCTCCTTCATCGCTTGAGCCTTGACTACGCGTTTCCTTTTTTCCTGAATTCGTTCAGCTTTTAGTTTCATCCCCGTTCTCTTCTTCTTCTTTTTGAGGGCTTCACCACCTTCATCACTCGGGTTTTCATGATCTTTCCTTTCCTCTTCATCATCTTTACTTAAAATTCCATTAGATACGTGTTCAGAGGCCTCAGCATTGCTGTTATCCATCGAAACATTACTGAAAGCAGCTGCCGATGCGACAACCGTCGACTTCTTTACGACAGGTTGTAGCTTGATGGGTTTGAAGAAAGGATTTACGACTTGTTCAGTAACGGCAACTGGCTGCATCTCAGCGTTTCTGAAGACCGGTTCACTAGGAGTTTCGGTTCTCTTCTGGGGCAGTGGCTGCTGGAGGTTTTTATTCGTCTTGAGGATCGAGACTGGGAGGAGAGATTTATTAACCAGAATTGGAATTTTGTTCGGCTCTTTTGTGACCTCTGGAAGCCCTCGAAGATACAGAGGCTCGCCAATTACTTCAGCAGCTCTTTTTGATAAATCATCCTGAGGACCAGATGTCAACGGAGGACACTCTCTCTTCTTTTTTTCTGATTCTACATCCTGAGGTTGAGGAACTTCCAGGGGTGCTGTGCCTGGATCAACCCCTGGAGCATCTCCAGGGAGTTGAGGAGACACTATTGAAGATTTCTCACTGGTCTCTTCGACTGTTGGGGCCTCTCCCACGGTTTTTGATGGATCTTTCATCGATAGATCAAGGGCCACGCAGTGATCGTCATCCTGAGGCTCCAGAGTGTCAGGTGGACAAATAGGAAACTCAGGATCGTACATGGGAATGTCTGAGGGTGAATAAGGGGCAGCCTCGCTGCTCTCACTGTCTGTGTTTATTGTTATTGTCGTCAGGATATTTTTTCTCCTTTCTTTTTTGAATCTATCGACCCAGGGGGTCTTCGTGGGATCAGTGGGTGAATAAGGTGCCTCCATGTTCAATGCATCCCCGGAGTCTCTCTCCTCCTCATTCTTCACCGGTATACCCCTGGCATCGAGCCCTGGACCTGAGACATTCTGCTGGCGATCGGGACCCGGGGAATCCCTCATTATCTCGTCTGTTGGAGAATATGGAGAGAAATCCTCCTTCTCTCTCTCGACGTCAGTGTCGAGTTCCATGTCAACTTGTTGATCATCTGGAGACCTCTCGGGAGATGACGAGGAATTCACCAGATCCTGCAGGAAACTGTCAACAAAAGGGCTCGACTCTCTGGGGTTATTCTTCCTCTTATTGCCATTTTTAACTCTCTTTAGATGCTTCTTCATCACAGCTGACTTCAAGGCTATCATTCGGAGCTCTAAGGCCTCAGGGTCGTCCTCACTCTGGTGATCTGCCTCTGATTTCTGCTGCTTTGTTTCAAGAGCTAGACGTCTCAGCACCTCCAGGTTACCCTCTTCACTCTCAGATTCCGATCCCTCGCTTTTACTCTCTTTTTTTAGTTCATTGGTATCTGAACCGTTTGTCTCCGTCTTGTCTTCAGTTTGTCTTCTCGTGATCATGTTGTTCAATTTGTCCTTCAAGGAGGAGTGATCCTTGTGCTTATGACCGTTTGTAATTGCCCCGACGGTCTCGAGACGACGAACTTTCTTGAGAAGAGTTGCCGCATAAACTTCAGCGTAAGTTGGAGTCCGACGACAATGAGTCCTTCTCCTCGATTTTGTTCTCGATACTGGAGAGGATTTCGACCTTGAGCTGATTGCAGGGCATTCTCGGGGCGATTCCTCTCGGGGCAGTCTTACTCTCCTGGGTGATCGTCTCCGAGGTGATGGTGACCTCGAGTAATTTCTCCTTGGGGATGGAGATCTTCGGAATAAACCGTAAACTCTTTGGGGTGGGCTTGGTGAATGCGATGCACATCGTGCTCTGGTGAACGGCGAGTGTCGGCGAACTCCACGGGGACTTGGGGATCTTCTTCTTCTGTGCACTGTTATCTCAGTGGGAATTGCCGGTGCATTCAGCACCAATGGCTCACGATCAGTCGAGGATACGAAATCCTCCATCAAGAGTCCACCCTCCCCAGGGGCTTTCTTCTTCTTCCTCTTACGCTTTTTCTTGCCGATGTGGATGCACAGCTGGTGGGACGTTTCTGGGTTCTCGACGATCTCGCGCTCATCTTCACTCGATATTGGAAGGAGACCGTCATGTCTTGATGCCGGATTTGGAACGTAACGAGAATTTATCCCTCCGGTGTAATGACGATTCTCCTTGCCGTAACCTGCGTCTTTCCAGGGAACAGTAACTTGAGGTTCATGATAATTGTGGGATGGATCGAGGCTTGAGAAAACAGGAATTTCCACGTGGATGAGATTGCTTCGGGGGTGGAGTAGAAACGAGATCAATTTGTTGCACGAAATCCTCTGGGGTAAAAAAATCTCAATATTTTATTCGTCAATCCTCAAAAGATATCACTTCCCGTGGCTTTCCACTCCACTACCGATAACAATCGAATTGATAAATCGAAATTTTCCAATAGTAATTCCCAGAGTAATATCTAAATCGAGGATAAATGAAGGAGTCAGGAATCGGGAGCAGTAAAAAAAAAAAGTTTTACCAAATGCGTGACTCCTTCTGGCCGGTGACGGCATACGGACACTCCGGGGGACTTCATAGGTCGATTGTCCCTCGTCCGAGGAACTGACATCCTCTAGGGATATTTCCCCATCCTCCTTCTCGTCCATTGCACTCATTCTTCTTTATAGTGTTGAAAAAAAAAATTGTCCAGCCACTCTTCAAATTAGCACATCACCCTGAGAATTCTAACTCAATAAAAGACATTTCCCCACCAGATATTGGACTTCATCTTCAATATTATCCGACTATTTGTGACATGTCAACGAAATGCGAAGAGTTTTACGATTGCAGGGATGACTCATGCGAGAATTATTTGATTGCACGTGTAACAAGATCTTCGGCATATTCTTTCGCGCCATCAATTTAAGGAGCGCTTAAATGTTTATGTAACTCGATGCATCGCTTCAACAAAATAAAATCGATGAAAGGAATTGGAATTTTCTTCACTGAAAGGATTGAATCGAGAGAAAACGTCAAAGCTCCCTTGATTTATTAATTAATCACTGATTTTGGTTATCATGATGCTACGATGTGGATAATAGTCACCCTGTTATCGTGAATCCACGTGATGTAATTATTTGTCTTATATTTAATGGTGAAGTGTCTAAAATAGGGGAGAGTAATACAGTAATTTTTACGAGGAAAAGTGTTACGAATGTATTATTTCGCAAAAATTTAATTCCATGGAAAAAAGTCATGTCACATTTCCTGATAAAATCACGAGTTTTCGAGATTAATTGAGATTTAGTGGAGATTTCAAGTTTTTGTCATTTCACAGATAATTGCAGGTTAAAATAATCTTGGATTTCTGGTGCCTCGATTTTAGGAGCTCTGGGATTATTTCGGGGTTTATCGAGTGTTTGGATGTCAATCTTTAAGATATTGTTGCAATTGTTAATATTATCTTACCGATATGATTTCGATTATTATTACTAGCACGGGAGGATTGTTGCACGATCCATTTTATGTTCTTTGTGTGGCGCTATATTTGAGGCTAGGGAGGTACTTTTATAATATATAGTGTATGCACCGCATATATATACCCAAAGAGGATTGACTAAAGTAGAGGCTCAGTTCTGGGGGCTTGAGTGACTCCAGGGGCATTGTAGTACCTCACCCCAAGGGAGAGAGGGCACCAGGCGCAATTCTGAGGTGTCTGCCCGTCAGCCGACTCGGTACATACAATTAACCCTTAACGGGTACATACAATTAAAAAAAAAAAGAAGGAAAAAAAAAAGAAATTCGAAAATTTGAAATTTTTGAAAAACTATGAGGAGAGCATGACAATCGCGGAGGTATTCACTGAAATTGCAAAATTCAAAATTTTCAAAAAAGTATCAGAGGAGCATGAAAATCGACGAGGTATTCACTGAAATTTGAAAATTCGAAATTTTTGCAAAAGTATCAGGGGAGCATGACAATCGAGGAAGTATTCACTGGAATTGAAAAATTTTCAAAAAAGTATTAGGGGAGCATGAATGGGGAGCGATTTCTGGCGTTTACATTTGAATGCCAGTCGAGTCGTTTGATTTTTTTTCTTTCCAATTGACATGAAAAAAAAAGTCATGGCATAAAAATTGTCTACAAAAGCATAAATGAACAATGGGTATATGATTATTTCAATAAGAGAGATTGTTACTCAGTATTGACTATTTTTTCATAAATCAAGTAATTAAAGTGAAACTCTTTCCACGTCACCCAAGAGGTAGAGTCCTTGACGCGTATTTTTTAACGTGGTATCCCCTGTAGGCCTAATCCACTAAGTCAATGGATGGGAAATGGGGATGGATGGGAAAAAAAGATTTTTCCATGGAAGGAAATTAAATAAAACAGTAAATAAAAATAATTTTTGCTGTCATTTTTTTTCCTCTTTTTTCTATTTTTTAAAAATATATTTCACATTTTTTCCTGCTATTTGGCTGTGAGCTGCTGTGGAAATTGAAGAAGAATCGTAAGTAATTATTTAAGCAATTATATAAACAATTATCAAATGATAATTGTGATTTTTATTTGTATTCTCCTTCGTGTCCAGAAAATAGCTGAGAAATTCTTATCGGGAGATACAGAAGTCGATGAATTCCTGGATCAATTCTTGACCCGAATAAAGATAATGTATTTACGAAAGGTGAAGGTAGACAAAATGCGAGAGCTCAAGAGGAAACCGAAATCGAAATCGAAATCCAGCAGTGAACACCTGTCGCCGCCCAAATTTTCTTAAAGCTATTTCCTAATGTGGATCAAAATAATTCCCACGATAGCCCTCATCTCAGACAACAAGACAAAAGACTACATCGTAGGCTTCACGGACCTCGGAAATTGCGACGATTTTTCAACAGAGATGATGGAGTGGAGAATAGCCCAGTCTGGTGCAATATCATACACTGGTGACCTGTTGAATCCACCAGAAAAAGGAAAGAAGCCGCCTAATCTACTCTTTGGAAACAAGAAATCAAAAACAATTCGAGGCAGAACTAATTCTGACGACAGTGGTTCTGATAACGAATGATTTATTCTCATTCGATCGAATTTTCCTAGTTATTCGCATACCTTTTTGGATTATTATTATTTTTTTTACATCACGCACACTGATAAATGATAAAGTACGAATTGAATCAATCTGATCGAACACAATAAACATTTATTTAGTCGTTTATATTGAATTTTTATTTGAGTTATAAATACCTTCAGCCCTCCTCATAAGTAAAAACTGAAATATAAAAATGTTTCATCAGGAATATTATGGAATGATATGACTTTTACATGACCTGCATACAAAAATAAATTTATAGTAGTTTTCAAAAAGTGCACTATCCACTCTGCGTCGAATTTAAAGATTATTACCACACACTGAAAAGACACAAAATATTAGCTTTTAAAATTGTATTTAATGGGTAAATACTACGAGTATTAGGCTATGGTGCATTTACCTGGATATATGAAAGTATTTTTGAATGAACCTTTTTGTTTAGACTCATCTCGTTCATGCCACAGGGTCGTCCCATCGCAGGCACAAATTCTTTTCGTATTTTCGAAGACTCCTGATGATCTCGCGATAATTCCACACGCTAGTCTGTGGAATAAATTATTAAAAGTGTTGAGTAAAAGCAATACGAAAGAAATCATTCATAAACTCACTTCTGGCCACTATTTCCATCAAATTTTGATGTTGAACTATTCCCCTTGTCCAGAACACCGGTCGCCTCTGTATTAGCCTCAATCATTTTCTCTTCACTCTCTAATATCTCCTTTCGTTTTCTCAATTTAGTTATTAGTATATAGACTCGTCCTTGAATCCCATGATTGTCTAATTCTTTCCTAACGACTTCTGCGGTCTGTGATATAGTCTGAAAAAAATTGGTCATCTCAAAAGCCTGACTTTTTTCTGATAACGTCTCAGCAGCTCCCTTCGGAGATTTTGAAATTTCCTTACCCAATTGTCCAGCTTTTTTACCCAGCTCCGTTTTTCCTGCCTCGTCGATGACTCCCTGTACCTTCTCCTTCAATCCCTCCAGCTTCCCTTTTAATAACTCTGAGCTCTTCGATACCTCAGATTCCATTGACTGGAATTTTTGACGAGCTGATTTCAAAGTCTCCGACTGCTGATTATTTGTGTTTCAACGAATTAACAGTTATTAAAAATATCTTGACAAATTTGTCAGTGATGTTTACTTGATTTACTTCAATAATAATTTAATATCGTACTTACTGTTTTGGGCGGAGATATAAAATACGACGTAAATTTAAGGCCCGGATGGATTATCTGGAAAATAAAGGATAATTTATTTCCAAATTTGGACTGCTAGTTACTCCGGAAATTAATCGTTTTTTCCAATAATTGTTAGCTAGCACCGTAGCGGTTGTCAACAACTAGAGCGCTAGCTAACAATTATCGGAAAAATCGATTAATTGGTGGAGTAATTAGGAGTGGCAAATTTGGAGTAAATCATCATTTCCAGACAATCCAACCGGGCTTTAATTCCAATTTCAAAATGCGGCACTCCAGCGTAGTTAATGACTTGTTTATAAATGCACTCGCGATTTATCTGATGGAGCCATATCTACTGGCATCTCGACATCATCTGATCTAGCGCAGTCAATCACGGTTATTGACGCGCTCGCGATTTATGTGATGGAGCCATATCTAGTGGCATCTCGACATCATCTGATCGAGAGATAAAATCATCTCAAAAATTCAAACCCCGCTTGCGGCCGCGGCGCCGCTAGTTAATAAATAAATTTCACTCACCGGCGTTGGATGAAAATAAGTCCGCTTTCAATTTTCACCTTTCGAACCTTAACTCTAACCTCTTACCTTACTGTAAACATAAAAAAAAAACAAATTGTTAATGAAATTTCGACAAAATAATTTTTTTACTGCAAAGGCGATTTTTAATTTGGTTTTGAGAGTTTTTATTTTAAATTATTAATTATTATTTAAAATTATTTATTATTTTTTATTTAAAATTTTTTTATTTTATTGGAGAGTTAATTGAATAATTGAAAATTGTTTGTAATGTAAGCATTGAATATATCAAGAATCAGGAATGAAAAAAATGACATGAAAATAAAATGAAAATGATGCCTCAAGGTCATAAATAAATGCATACGAAACTCACCTTGCAGTCGGTTGCAAGATGCCCTCCAATCCTGATGTTCTCTGCCAAAGATTCTGACGCCAAAGGTTGAAGGTCACGGCTTGGAAGCATCAGCACTCGAGACAGTTCAAAAGTTCACTAATCACTCACCACACAACCAAGAATGTTTTATCAACTCAAAATCCACAAAGATCAATAAAATAATATCAAAGATCAAATAAAATTTTTAATCACTCAAAATAAAATGAATAAGAAAAGTAATCCTTCGAATCTAATTCGCACTGTCACTTCAGTCCGTATTTAAACACACACTAAACAATTCACAAAATCACTTGCACTGAGTCCCGCACTTTATATTTTTAATGTTCACAGGCGGCGCCGGTTTTTTGCGCTCACTAGAACTCCGATGTTAACGAATTTTAACTACGCGACGCGAGACTAACCGCTCGACGCACGGTCGCGGAACGACTGACTCCCCACTCAAAATGGCAGGGCGTTGGAGACGGCGCTCGAGTGGGGGGGGGTCACCCGGCGATACTCCGCGCACGCGCACAGAACACTCCCCATGCGCACAGAAGACCGCTCGAGTGGGGGGTCGCCAGGCGATACTCCGTGCATACGCACGCACACCGTCCATGCGCACAGAACACCGCAGGCAGTCTCAATTTGAAGAGATACAATAATTGCGAAAATTCCTAACCTAATAAATCATTCTCTCTTAAAAAAAAACAGTGCAATCACGTAAAATCCCCTGTTTTGTCCCCTGTTTTTGGCTTGACAATACCTGCTTGTATCATACCTTAGGTTGGCTCAGTCAAACCCCCAGAACTGAGCCTCTACTTTAGTCACTCCTCTTTGGATTTCAGCTTTCGTTACGGAGCAGTTCCTGGAGAATGACAGAGATGGCGCCTTTAGGATGATCCCAGTATCGTCGCGAGAGGTGTGCGCACGCCGGAATTTTGGGAGCAGAAAATATTATTCAGTCAAAAATAATTTCGAACTTTATCGTCAATGTTGGATAATGCTGCGAAATACGGTGGGATAGAGAGGATTTTTTTTTAACAAAAAATTTCTTTCCTCTGTTATCCCCATGTACTTGTGGAATTTGAATTATCTTTTTTTTTTTGGATTTGAATTTGAATTATCTAAACAGCTGACTCATTACTTTAGTCAATCGTATGAAGATGTTTAATAGAACTTCAAATTTCTGTCAGAGAAATTTATTATCATTCGATTATTATTCTGATCTGTCACTTTTATTAAAAAAATGATAAAAAATGTGGGGAAAATCTATCGGAAGGATATTTTCTACGCAATCATCACGCGCATGCAGAAGAGCAAAAAACTTATTCGTCAATTACACTCATTAGTGCGTAACGAATACGTCCAAGACGGAAATTCAAATGGAAATATGTACATTTCATCAGGAATAACGGATATTTTTTTTTATGAAATTATATTGATGATTCTGTTAATTAATTCACCAATCCAGGTTGTTTTCCAATTGCCGAGGGCGGATATTATTGACATTTGTTAGTTAAAAGCGATTGTATTCCTGTGGACATTCATTTTCACAAGTGAAACTTCGGCTCCTTTCTGATGAGAGTGGAATAGCAGTTCATCATTCGATATTTTTGCAAATCCATGTTAACAATAATTTTTAATAATAAAATGCGTAGTATTAAACACAACGAAGAAATATTCATTATTTTCAATAAAGAATCCTTAAGTGTCCAAAAAATTTCCGATCCTTTCAAAATATTTATCAATTTATCAAAGAATGTGAAATTAAATTATCGTAATTTTGAGATTTGTGTTACGAAAATGAATTAATTCAGTAATTAATTATTTATCACCGCCTCACTGTCGTGACACATTGTTACAAAAAAAAATACGTTGTCACCCACTCATTAGAACTTATAATGATTACAATAATTCGCTTCCGCCATAAAACAGTCATTGCGTGCCACTAAAGAGTCATAAAATCATGACTTCAGAGAAGTTTCGAGACCTCAACAGAATAGAATTAATAACTGAAGTTCTTTCGATGACAAAAACTGCCTTGTCTTCGCATGATTAATTTACCAAAAGGTAATTAATTTCCATGATTGATCGAAAAAAACATGCAACTTCATCAAATAATTAACATAGCTGTTTTCTCCCCATTAAACTTCAGTAATTTCAATTTAATTCCACTCTTTCCTCGAGAGTTTCTAAAAGCTGAGATTTTCCTAGAAATCCGGTGAAGTTGATGACTTCACCGCCTCATAAATCGTATCCGTTTTTCATCTCATAAAGCGATGATTGATTTTTACGAACACCTGATGGACATTCAAATCAATGCAGCCGTGTCCTCGACATTGACTTCTCGTTTTTTTTCCTCCACGTGTGTTTCACTCCTTGCCGTCGTATTGAAACCAAAAATCTGTTATTAGTCATCAACGAGAAGTACACCAGTCCCCCGGCCATAATAAGCAGTCTCTGGCTGATTGCAAATTGCAGGAGATTTTCTTCAACGTATAATTGATATGTTTTACATCAGTCACAATGATGTGGTTTGACAGTTATTGCAGATTAGTCATGCGATAAGAGGACAAATGATAAAAGGTGGCGATGTCTCGGGGTAGTTCTTTGTGCGCGCTCAATGCCCCAAGAACTCTTCGCCTCGAAGAAATACAAATAGTTGAATAGAAATAGTTCAAGTGTTAAATGTAAAAAATGTTGTTGACCAAGTATTGGAGCATCGATTTGCTCATGGGGTTTGGCTTGCTGGTGGTGCTGGCGTATCTGTACATGACCCGCAAGTTCAAGTACTGGAAAAACCTAGGGGTGATGGGCCCAGAGCCTACGCCATTCGTCGGAAATTTTAGTGACTGCTTCAAGATGAAAAAGAGTGCTGGGGAATGGCTTCAGGATCTCTATAATTGGGGTGCGGGACTCCCTTACATCGGATTCTACGTATTCGATCAGCCCTTCTTTCTCGCTCGGGATCCGGAGATCATCAAGAATATTCTCGTGAAGGACTTCAATTACTTTCAGGACAGGTTCGTCCAGACTAGCTCTGAGGATCGCCTTGGGGATGCCAATCTGTTCCTCATCAAGAATCCAGCGTGGAAGTACCTCAGGGCTAAAATTACACCGATCTACACATCTGGGAGACTGAAGAAAATGTTTGAGCTCATGACTGAAGTCAGTCGTGATCTCAATGCGCACATGACGAGTCTTCCTTGGAACGGTTCGTGAAAATGTTTACTCCAAAAATATACATATTATTAAAGAATAATTAATTCCTAGGAGATAATATTGTGATGGAGATGAAAGAGCTCTGCTCCAAGTACACGACGGATTTAATCGGCACCACCGCATTTGGTCTCAAAGTCAATTCCCTCAACAATCCAGATGCTGAATTTCGTAAACGAGGGCGTGCCATCTTCAACTTCACTTTTTACAGAAATATCGAAGTGACTAGTATGTTTTTCGCTCCACACATCGCAAAGTCCCTCAAGTTTCAATTCTTCTCACCTGATACTTCTAATTTTCTGAGGACTGCCGTCTGGGATACCCTCAACGAGAGAGAGCGCTCTGGAATCAAGAGGGGCGATCTTATCGATCTCCTCCTCGAGTTGAAGAAGACGCAGGCACCTGGACCTGAAAAAGAGCTATTTGGTGCGCCGTTCATGACCGCATATTCTCACGGAAAAATTTCGCAATTACTAGATTCATTAATTTAATTTTTTCGCTCCAGATTTCGATGGTGATAATTTAGTGGCACAGGCAGCAGTATTCTTCACAGCTGGCTATGAGACATCTGGAACGACATTGAGCTTCACACTTTATGAATTGGCTCGTCATCAAGATATTCAATCAAAATTGAGAAATGAAATTGCTCAAGTCCTGCAGAAGTCACAGGGAAAAGTAACGTATGACCTGGTGAGTTCGCACCGACAGATTTCGTCGCATCTGGAGGAATCCCTCAAAATCTAAGGCCGATAGTGAAATTTTCATGGGAATATTTTTTCTAGCTTTCACTCAGCTCTAAAAAACATGTCCCACAAGAAATTGCGCTATCTCTCTTAGATCCAGAGATAATCCACGATAACATGTCGTTCACTTTTTCGTTATCGATTTTTTTGTTCATTGGTATTTAATTTGTTAATCAAGATATCGGAATTATCGTATTTGGATATGGTAGTCTCGGAGACTCTCCGGAAATATCCACCCCTGCCAGTCCTGGATCGTGTGGCAGCTCAGGATTATCAAGTGCCTAATTCCAAGTTGATCCTGAGAAAAGGAACTCCAGTTTACATCTCGGTATTTGGACTCCATTTCGATCCCCAGTATTTCCCCAATCCCCAGAAATACGACCCCGAGCGATTTAGTCCTGAGAAGAAGAAGAAAATACCCTCTGGTGTTTATCTGCCCTTCGGAGATGGTCCTCATGCTTGTATCGGTAATTTATTAACTATCAGTGGAATTCAATAGAAAAAATCATTAACAGACAATTTCTTCATCACTGAAACAAAAATCTTGTCTTCTAGGTCTTCGAATTGGTCTTCTGCAAGTAAAATTGGGGCTCATCGAGTTGATCCAGAAATTCGAATTTTCTCCCTGTGAGAAAACCCTCGTCCCCATGCGATTGAACCCAAAAGCCCTGATCACAGCATCAGACGGTGGAATTTTCCTGAACGTTCGGAAAATCACATCAAATTAACAAAAATGTCATCCACTAAAACGTCCCTTTATTCATTCACTTAATTATGGACTGAACATGTGAATTCCCAGTGTTGAAACGCTCGAGATTTTAAGATAACTTTATAGAATAAATGCACTAATAAATAAATACAATAAATTCTTCTTCTGAGAATAAAAAAAAATTCTAAACGAGTCAGCGGATTTTTACCCTACGCTGTCTGGGATTCTATCGGTCATCGGTACGTCGCAATTCCCCTTTATGATTTTTTTATTTGTTTATGGATTTCTGATGAAAACATTCATTGTCAACAGGTCTGATACTCTTATAACTGCAATAAAAAATAGCTTTTATGAGCATGATAAAAAAATCCGAGACGAATTCGTCCTTTCCCCATTTTCCAGAAAAATATTCCATTCCTAAACTATAACTTACGCAGTCCTGGAAATATCAACATTGCAAAAACTTTCCCTAATTTATTTATAAAGTCAACGGTTATCTACATTCTCTGCAGAATTTGAGATAGTGCATTAATGATCGGTGTATAATTAATTATTCGCGATTGACTCGGGTCGCACTCGTTACAGTCGTGGGTTGTGCTCTTATCGGCCATCCGTTTTGATAACTCAGGGATATCAATTGCCCATAAGAAATTATCATTTCATTGTAACGAGTGTCTTCTTCGAGCACTCGTCGAAGTTCGGATAGAATTAAGGGAATTTAATTCAAATATTGTACGGATAAACCCATACTAATTCTGATAAGTTGCCTCTCATCATAATCCGATAATTTTCGGATGGCAAATATTCCGCGCACGCAATCATCGAAGAGGACAAATAATTGCGTAAAAACACGTGCAGACATTATTCTCAGTGTGAAGCAATTCGCTTTCTCCGTGCAACTTCAGTACAAGTGCTACAGCCAAGGAATAAACTCCGGAGGAGAAATTCCACGATTTATGAGAGAACAATTTTTTCTGTTAAGTAAATAAATTAAAAAACATCGCGTTACTATTAGAAAAATATGATAAAATTAATGATTCATTATTGATTAATTAGTTGTTGGCAATAATTAATTAGTTAATTAGCGGAAAGAATATGTTCGATTATAGTTTCATGGAATTTTCTCATTTCTCGGAGAATTCTAGGTGAAGGGAATTTTTCGGAGGAATTTCCACTCGTGATTTTTTATTTGTGAATTCTCGTGACGTGCCAGGGGAATAAAGACGTGAAGATGACGTTTTTGGGGGATAATTGGGGGCTGGAGGTAGTAATTCTGGTGGTGTTGATTATTTATCTGATATATCGGTATATGATGAGGAATTCTGAGTACTGGAAAAATCGAGGGGTCGTGTACCTTCCGCCGACTTCGGTTTTTGGGAATTTCGGGGAGTTTCTTCTGGGGAAAACGTCAGCTGGATGTTTCACGAAGATGGTGTATGATTATGCACCCAATGAGCCCTACGTTGGGTTCTTTATATTGGACCAGCCGATGCTGATGATCCGTGATCCAGAGATCGTTAAGCAGATTCTCATCAAGGACTTTGATTATTTCAAGGATCGATATGCCAATGCCCCGGCATACGACGTCATTGGTACCTCGAATTTATTTGTATTGAAGAATCCTGCGTGGAAGTTCTTGAGGCACAAAATATCACCGATTTACACCTCTGGGAGGCTCAGAAAGATGTTAACACTCATGATCGAAGTCGGCCACGATCTCGTTACGTATATGGAGTCCCTGAATCTAGAAGGTAGTCTGGAATGATATCTTCACAAAAATCAAACAATAATAATAATAACAATTTATCAAGTGAAAGTTACACCGAAGTGTGATGAAAAGAATTTTTTATTTAACTTTTATTTATTTTTTTTTGTGAAAATGGAATTTTTTTGGGCAACCTAATTTTTACCGGAAGAAATATAATTACCATGACATTTTTTCTCAAGCAAAAACGCCATTTTGTGAATGAAAAATTCCACAGAGATACTGGAATCTTCACAAGACTCAGCGATTATTATTGCAGCGCCGGGAAAATTCCACGCGAGCCAATTAAATATTTATTAACGCAGAGCTGTAATTTTTATGAGAATTGATTGCATCACTGGTTCTTGTTTTGGGTGATTATTTTAATCTGATTTTAGCTCCAGGACGAGAGTTGGAGCTAAAAGACATTTGCGCTAGATTTACAACGGATATGATAGCAACAACGGCTTTTGGACTGCGAGCGAATTCCCTGAACAACCCCAATGCCGAGTTCAGGGAAAGTGGAAAGGAATTCTTCAGGGACACCTTCTACCGCAGCGTCGAGCATAATTCAGGAATGTTCGCTCCTTATCTCATGTCACCCCTGGGGTTTCACTTTTTTCCAAAAAAATTCAGTCAATTTATGCGGATGGCTGTGTGGGGTGCTATCAATGAACGGGAAAAATCAGGGTTTAAGAGACATGACCTCATTGATCTGCTCACTGAATTGAAAAACGCTGAATTTGATGATTCTCATAACAATATTTTTGGTACTTCCTATATTATTTTTAATTTTCTCAATTAAATTATCTACCACTCATATAAATATTCCCCTCAATAATTCTTAATGAATATTTTTTTAGTTAATTGATCTGTGAATTTTCTCGGATGATTGATAAATATTATTGAATTTGAATTAATTGATTGAAATCAATATTTAATTTTCAGAGTTCAAAGGTGATAATATTGTTGCTCAGGCGGCTGTATTTTTCGCGGCAGGATTTGAAACTTCTTCAACTACCATAAGTTTTTCACTTTACGAATTATCTTTAAAACCGGAAGTGCAGAGACGTGTCAGGAAGGAAATAATTGATGCTGTCGAAGGAAATCACGGAGAAATCACATACGACATGGTACAGCCATTTTTCATAAACATTTATCACTTAATCCTGCAATTGAATTTATTCCACTCACAAATCTGATGGAGGATTTCGTATAGAAATTCTTCGTAATTCCCATTAATTAATTATAACTAGTACAACCAGGCTGGCTAATTATTCAATTAACATTACAATTATATTACCAACCCAGGTAAAAAGAAAATTGTAATCGGAACATTTTTTCCAAATTTGGAAAACAATTTCTAGAAAACTTTTCAGAAATTTTTTTTTTTATTTTCTAGGAATATTTGCGAATACAATTTTTTTTTAATTATTTGGTTGTTTTTTTACTTTTTTAATTTCACAATATTCTCAAAAAATACGCCATCTAAATTATAAAAAGAATTTTCCTATTTAAATTTTTGAAAAATCTTTCAAAACCTTTCCCCAAAATAAATTTGTTTTGTTTTCCAATTTTTTTTCTGTTTCAAAAAAAAAATTCTGAAAAGTCTTTCAGAAATTTTTTAAAAATTAGGAAAAAATATTCCCATTACATTTTTTTTACCCGAGACCATATGGAATATCATATTTTTATCCAGTAGTCGCTTTAATAGAAATAATAAATACGCGATTCTATCCAAGCTCTTATCAATTGACATAATTACTGTTCAGTATCAATTGACAAGTTCATACCACTCAACACCCAGTTAATCTAGATCTCTCAATAAATCGCGAAACACGTCATCAGATCTCTGAAGATCAAAAGTTCAATTTTTTTCTGTGGAATTGAAAACAAATAACCAATTAACAATTCACGGCGGTCCCTGGAAACTTCTGCGCAACAGACCGATTCAAAATCTCGCACGAAATTTATTGATTGCAATCAACTTATATTTCCTTATTTATTTCATATTCTTCATATCTCTTTTTAATTTATATATCCCTCACATTCACAGCGAATGTTACTTGATGATGACATCACTTAATTTCTTTACACAATCTTTTAGAGTAAGTAATCATTTCGATTTATGCAGCAATTTTTTTGTTGATTACAGATCATGCGCCTTCCGTACTTGGATATGGTGGTGTCAGAAACTCTTCGCAAATACCCACCATTACCCTTATTGGATCGCATCGCGGATGCGGATTATGCGGTTCCTGGAACCGATCTCATTATCGAAAAAGGAACACCTGTTTATATAACATTGACAGGTCTCCATTACGATCCGAAATACCACAAAGACCCCGAGATATTCGATCCCGAAAGATTTTCAGAAATCAACAAAGAGGCCACCAAACAAACGTGGTATCCATTTGGCGATGGTCCCCACGTTTGCATCGGTAATTAATTAATTATTTTTTACCGAAGCCTTTTAGGAATGCCTACGAATCTAAAAACTACAGCCATCGAATTATTCATATTTATTGTTTAATTTTAATTATCAATTAATGGTATTACTTGTATCTTAGGTCAGCGATTGGGACTTGCTCAATCTAAATTGGGCCTCATAGAATTGCTGCGAAGGTACGAGTTCTCGCCCTCGGATAGAACTCCAATTCCAATGGTACTTAATAAAAAAGGGGTAATGACAAGCGCTGAAGGGGGTCTATACCTCCACGTGAAGAAACTCGACCCACAAAACAATTGATATTCAATAATTAATAAATACGAAGTAATCAAACTACAACTGATAATTCACTGTAATTTCTATATTCATTGCAATCCATCTTCAGCATTTGTATTAATGAAATAAAAATAAATAATCGTTTATGAATTTTTCATTATTTGATTGGTCCCTTCGATTTTGTCGTAACATTTAAAAATTCTATATTTGTCGTAATAATAATTATTGAGTAATAACCAATGAGAGGAATGATCTCGATATTTCGTATTTATGGCAGCTAGAAATACTAGATAATTTAGATACCTCACAGAAGAGAATTCGCAGAATCTTTCGTAAAAAAATCACTGGATTGAGAAAGATTGCTCTAAAATTCTAGTTACGTGAAAAACTGGTTTGTAAATTCTGAGAGACTCGGCTTCATCGAAGATATTACGGTTGAAGAACTCATTCAATGACAGTACAGTAATTGTCACCTAGACGGTACGTCCCGACCAAATAATCCAGCAGCGTATTTTTCCACTTTGAAATTGTACCAACAATTTACGTTTTCACATAAATTTTCCGGCGTACGTTGAAAATTAACGAGTGCCTCTTCCCCATTTACAACCGAGAATGCCTGAAATAACAGTGAATTACGATTTATTGCTAGATGTAATAGATCATTACTTCCTCGAGCAGGCGGTAGTTACAACCAGGGTTATTCAACGTACGTAAGACCCATTTAAATGACTTGGACTATTGCTCATTACTTAGTGGATATTGTGTGACTGAATTTTCATTGCTGATTTGTTTATCAGAACGGGACATTGAGAAATCAGAGTTGAATGGTTGTGATGTGTGAGGACTCATCAGATTGAAAATTTTAAAAATGGCATTGCTCACGAAATTTTGGGGATTGGACCTGCTGGCGGTTTCTTTCGTACTGATACTAGTGTTCTATCTGTATATGACGAGGAATTTTAATTATTGGACGAAACGGGGAGTCAAGCAGATCCCGCCGGTGCCGTTTTTCGGGTGTTTCAAGGAGATTATTCTGCAGCAGAAAGTCCCAGGTCATTTCTTCAGGGATTGGTACGAGAAGTACAGACCCCTGCCTTATGTTGGATTCTACGTTTTGGATAAACCGTTCCTCCTGATTCGTGATCCGGAGCTTGTTAAGAGTGTTCTTGTCAAGGATGCCAATTACTTTCAGGACAAACATCTCACGGCTAATCCTAATGATACACTCAGTGCTGCTAATGTTTTTCTTATTAAAAATCCAGCCTGGAAGTATTTGAGATCGAAATTGACGTCGGTTTATACCGCTGGAAGATTGAAGAAAATGTTTGACTTGATGCTGGATGTTTGTAAGGATTTCGATACATTTTTGGAATCTCAAAATTTAGATGGTGAGGCACTGCTGAATTATTCATACGTCTCGGCAAATTATTTAGCAACGCGTCGAATTTGTTATTATTTTTTCTATACCAGGTCCGGGGGGTGTTTTGGAGATGAAAGATGTATCCGCTAAATTCACCACTGACCTCATTGCAACAACTGCTTACGGCATTAAAGCGAATTCTCTCAATAACCCCGATGCTGAATTTCGAAAACATGGAAAAAGAATTTTTGAATTTACTACTTATCGTGGCTATGAGTTCTTAGCCATGTTCTTTGCACCGCAGTTTGTCAAACCTCTGAATATTCAATTTTTCCAAAAAGAAAGTACAAAGTTCCTGAGAGAAGCACTCTGGGGAACTCTGCAGGAACGACAAAAATCGGGAATCAAACGTCCCGATCTCATCGATCTTCTCATCGAATTGAGAAAAAATCAACCAGAAGAGGAGAAGAAAATTTTTGGTAAGTGAGATATTTTCAGCAAGTAAAAAAATTTTATACAAACGGTGTAATGATTGCCATGCCATAAATGCGGATGAATTATTGAATGAATATGATTTTTGCTGTTAAATTATTCTGACAGAATTCGACGGTGACAATCTGGTAGCCCAAGCCGCTGTTTTTTTCACTGGTGGCTTTGAAACCTCTTCAACTGTAATTAGTTTTTGCCTGTATGAACTTGCGACGCATCCAGAAGTTCAAGACAAGGTGAGGGAAGAAATACAAACGGCTCTGCAGGAGAACAACGGCAAAATAACCTACGACATGGTGGTAAGTATCTTCGAGCAATTTCAACCACAATACCAATTCCTTTACAGTCATCCACAGCGTCAATATTTTTAGGTGTCAGGATTGCCGTACATGGACGCAGTGATATCAGAAGTTCTGCGTTTCTACCCACCTCTGCCCTATTTGGACAGAGAAGCTTCTTACGATTATAAAATCCCAGGTAGTGATGTGATCCTCAAGAAAGGAACTCCAGTGTTGATTCCAATGTTGGGCTTCCATTTCGATGAGGATTACTTCCCAGATCCCTTCCGCTTCAATCCCGACAATTTCTCTGAGGAAAATAAGAAAGCGCGAAAACCTGGTGTCTACATGCCATTCGGCGATGGGCCACACACTTGTATTGGTAATGAATCTCTCTCTCATTACTATCTAATCTCATGACCGGTGTTTTTTGTACTTTATCATGTTATCACCTGCTCGAAATTTTACTCTATTTTTTCAGGTTTACGACTTGGATTGATCCAAGCAAAACTGGGAATAATAACAATGCTATCCAAATACGAAATATCTCCTTGCAAAGAGACTCTCATTCCCATGCGATTGAATCCAAAAGCTGTAATAGTTACTCCCGATGGTGGTGTACACCTCACAGTGAGAAAATTAGTTAAATAATTCACTCCAGTTTTAATCAAGTCCTTGGGAAACTTTCAAGAGTAGTTTTACAAATACTTCGTGTAATTGAGGAGTAATAAAAAATTAGTTATGAGTTTTTCAAGGTTTTTTTTGTTGGCGACGCATTAGTCAATTATTACTTTGTTTTCATAATTTAGAGTCTCCTCTTTGCATGCACATGAATCATCCACGGCTCTTTTTACCACGTGTAAGATTCTCATTATCAAAGTTTTTTTATCATTTCGCAAAAAATGTTATCGATCAACCTCTCAATTTTTTATTTCCTAGTGTGATAACGTATTCGTGACGATGTGATCTTAGACTTATGAATTCAATTATCATCTCTCGCTAATTTTTCTGACGGATGGGGACATTTCAACGACTGGAAGGGGACAACTTCTATAGTTCTATGAGAATTATCGGTAATGGTCAAACCTTGCTACCTATAAATTGAGATGCAGGAGATGCTAGATCAGTGCGGAGAAAAACTTTGGACCGTACATGTCGCATTTGCCTGAACTCTAATTTTCAATTGAAATTTTCATTCAAGTGTGACTTTTTTCTTCCGCGAAATGGCATTGATCACGAAATTTTGGGGATTGGACTTACTGGCAGGTTTTTTCGGGCTGATCCTTATAGTGTATCTGTATGTGACAAGAAATTTTAATTATTGGACGAAACGGGGAGTCAGGCAGATCCCGCCGGTGCCGTTTTTCGGGAGTTTCAAGGAGATTATTCTGCAGCGAAAATTCCCCGGTCATTTCTTCAGGGATTGGTACGAGGAGTACAGACCCCTGCCTTATGTTGGATTCTACGTTTTGGATAAACCGTTCCTCCTGGTTCGTGATCCGGAGCTCGTTAAGAGTATTCTTGTCAAGGATGCAAACTACTTTCAGGACAAACATCTCACAGCTAATGCTAATGATACACTCAGTTCTGCTAATCTTTTTCTTATTAAAAATCCAGCCTGGAAGTATGTGAGATCGAAATTGACGCCGGTTTATACAGCTGGAAGGTTGAAGAAAATGTTTGGCTTGATGCTGGATGTTTGTCAGGATTTGGATACGTTTTTGGAATCTCAAAAATTAAATGGTGAGGCACTGGTGAATTATTCATACGTCTCGGCAAATTATTTCTCAATACGTCCAATTTGTTATTATTTTTTTTAACACCAGGTCCTGGGGGTGTGTTAGAGATGAAAGATCTTGCCGCTAAATTCACCACTGACCTCATTGCCACAACTGCTTACGGCATAAAAGCAAATTCCCTCAATAATCCCGATGCTGAATTCCGAAAACACGGAAAAAGGATTTTTGTATTCAATACTTACCGTGGTTATGAGTTTTTAGCCATGTTCTTTGCCCCTCAGTTTGTCAAGCTTTTGAATATTCAATTTTTTCATAAAGAAAGCACAAAGTTCTTGAGAGAAGCACTCTGGGGAACTTTGCTAGAACGACAAAAATCGGGAATCAAACGTCCCGATCTCATCGATCTTCTCATCGAATTGAGAAAGAATCAACCAGAAGAGGAGAAGAAAATTTTTGGTAAGTGAGATATTTTCAGCAAGTAAAAAAATTTTATACAAACGGTGTAATGATTGCCATGCCATGAATGCGGATGAATTATTGAATGAATATGGTTTTTACTGTACAATTCTTCCGACAGAATTTGACGGTGACAATCTGGTAGCCCAAGCTGCTGTTTTTTTCACTGGTGGCTTTGAAACCTCTTCAACTGTAATTAGTTTTTGCCTGTATCAACTTGCGACGCATCCAGAAGTTCAAGACAAGTTGAGGGAAGAAATAAAAAGGGTTCTGGAGGAGAATAGCGGCAAAATAACATATGACATGATGGTAAACATCTTCGAGCAATTTTAGTCACACTACCAATTTTTTGACAGTCATCCACAGCTTGAATATTTTTAGGTGACAGGCATGCCATACCTCGACGCAGTGATATCAGAAGTCATGCGTTTCTATCCACCGCTGCCCTACTTGGACAGAGTAGCTTCTTACGATTATAAAATCCCAGGCAGTGATGTGATCCTCGAGAAAGGAACTCCTGTGTTGATTCCAATGTTGGGTTTCCATTTCGATGAGGATTACTTCCCAGACCCCTTCCGCTTCAATCCCGACAACTTCTCTGAGGAAAATAAGAGAGCGCGCAAACCTGGTGTCTACATGCCCTTCGGGGATGGGCCGCACCTCTGTATCGGTAACGAATCCTCCACCTCCCCAAATTTAATCTCTCTCTAATAAATCCTCAATAAATCCTCACCCTCACAAAATCTCTCTGATATTCAATTAAAATTTTCTAGGTCTCCGCATTGCACTGATCCAGGTAAAACTCGGTGTAATAACAATTCTCTCAAAGTACGAACTATCCCCTTGCGAAAAGACTCTCATCCCCATGAGACTCAATCCAAGAGCTGTGCTAACTACTCCTGAGAGTGGTATATACCTCACAGTACGAAAATTGCATGAATAAATTCCTGGAAATAACACCAACGCCTCACAGGTACAATGAAAAAATGATGAACAGTAACTGATGATTTAATCAGTGAAATGTGATCAGTTATACGTTTATTGTATGCACTCACTTTTTATTTACAAAAAAGAAACTATTACTCAGGTTGCAGAATGATTTTCAGTTTCTTCTCACAATGATACACTTTTATAACGCTATTACGCTTAGAATTAAAGATGGTACGTAGTTCTCATGCATTTGTTCATCCAGCTTCATTGAGTTTATCGATAGAAATAAGAATGCCGAGATAACCAAATAGATTATAGATCTACAAATTTAATTTATGCATTTCATTCCAATGCTCAACTCTTTGGCATTGATTCCCGGGGAATTTCAATCATTACATAATCAGTGATTAAAGATAACAAGTTCAATGTGAAGGAAAATCATAACTGTGGGGTCATAGAATCTATTCTCTAGTTTTCAAAGTTTAGTGATACGTTCTAATCTCCACTTTATGATTGCATTCCATCGGATAATTCTAGTCCTTTCTCCTCCGACAATTAGTCTCAGTAAATCGAAATGTCATTCGAGTCAGTTACTACTGACTTATCATTTTTCCCCTGACGTTTATAATGCATCCATGGACCACAAGAATTTATTATACAATCAAATAATAATCGTCAGCTCGCCAGCAAGCGGAACAATTATACCGATTAATTACTTTTAATAATTACTTCAATATTTAGGTAAAATTTTTTTACTCCTCGTTCATCCACTTAATCGCTTATATAGTGTATATTCTTTAATATGTATATTCATATTAAATATATGTATTGTTACGGAGATTTCGTATATTATTCAATAAATGATATTTCTTTCACGTACAATGGCTCTGAATTTTTTCTAATCATTTTAATCCAATTACGTATTTACACGCAGAAAAATTGATTTTTTTTTGCATCAGACGAATATTTTTATTAAAAATATACCAATGAATTTCGAAATCAATGAATTACTGAAAACAAATTCATAACGAATTTATTTTAGCGTACCAGAAATTCGTTAGTAATAAAAAAATCATTATCACATAAAAATAAAAGCCAAGATTGAAATGGATATTTTATTTCCAATTGAAATTTTAGGTCGCGCTATTGATTGGATACGAATAACATTCATTTGATCCAAATAAATAATTTTTCCGAGTGCACATTGCATTTTATTTTTTTGGATTTCATCGGCACCAGTTCCACATTTTGTACGGTAAGCCCATATCGAAAATTTTTTAGACAGTCCTGTCATTCAATTCAATTCAAACTGCCAACTCGTCAAAGACCGATTCAATTTAGCCTCCACTCCCTTCAACTATTAAATTTCCGCTCCCACCGTCTGTCCATCAATGGCAAAGTGCCGTCAGATTATAGATGAAATTCGGACGAGAAAACATCAAATACATAACTTTTGGTTACTGAATAACCCGAAATCCATTGATACTCTTAATTCCATCACACTGTGATATATTTTTCTCACAATTCAACATATATCCCCATAGATTTTGCCCTCCGTGTAATCGGAATTGTTTCACTGACTGGAGTAATGAATAATCAGATTCACTTAACACGAGCAAAAACATCATCAATACCTTAGGCCATGTTTAAGTGGAGTTAGTAAATAGGAAGAGATTAAAATAAATAAATGACAAACATCAGGCACAGGTAGTGTTTTTTTTTATAATTATCATGTTCATTTTGTTTCTTTATGTAATTTTTTTTCTCCATTTTTTTCTCTTTTTTTCAGTTTTGCCTCAGTTGTAACATTGACATCATTTGATATTACTTTAAACTCCAAGTTTTTGGTTAATTTTTCAGGATATAATTAAAACGATATCTGCGTTTACTAAAACGCCATAAAAATAGTCCATTTATTAACAGTTTAGTTGTGATAATTCATTCGAATTTTCATTTGTATTTAAAAGAGAAGTACACTTTAACGTTTGGAAAAATTGGTCGCAAGATTTAAGATTTGTTACGATTGAGTATCACGCGATAATAACAATTTATTTATTATTCAATCGAGGCTCTGAAATTTGTGAAAAACACTTGGTAACGAATTTTCAAAACAATCTGAATTATTTTGATTAATCAATAACAGATGATGGAAAAAATCGGATGAAATAAATTTTCATCCCATTCCTGGAATGATTTTTTCGCTCATCCGTTTTTTTTTTTCATGAAATTCAATAGATCTAGGTGTTGTGTAAATAAAATAATTGACCCGATTTGTCAGCGAAAAAAAGGAGATAAATGCCCAATTGATACATTGGGGATAAAACACAATAAACGTAAGACTAGAGTTCAACAATACATGCGGTTTAATCGCCGTATAGAAAACAGTGATGAAGTATAAAAATATAAACATGTAAAAATCATAGGCGTGATAATCGTTTGAGAATGTAAATCAGTGACAGTTTGTTCTTATGGATCGTTGAAGTGATTGAAACGAAACTCTAGTGAAACTTAAAAGTCATTACAATTGTTGGAAAATTATTGAGCAACTCGTGACAAATGAACAATTACTTTTACTTTACTTTCAAAATCGTGTAAATCCCTCATTTTCTGTTCGATCGCCGTTCTATTTTATCAAAATATCCGTCGAATTTCCGGGAACAAAGGAATCCATCTATTCACGATCCACCGACCGAATGATGCAAAAATGGTGATTTTCTGTCGTTTCATTGCTTTCACATTGACTCATCAATTTTTCATCTCTAAAAATCTTTTCATGATCCGTTTGATGGATCGTAAAACGGATGCCTTTGTTCCTTGAATTTTATAGAGCACTTTGAAAAAATAAAAATGTCAATGGCATGAAAATTGAGGGACTAAACGATTTTTTTTCAAACCCACGTCCCTTTTTGTTTTTTTGTTATCGATCAAAAATGTCTCATCAGGCGCCAGAATTCGCGCAATAAATCTCGAGCTCTAGTGAAGACTTTGAAATTTCACCGATGTGTTTCCTAAACTCAAAAAAAAAATCCCTCCATCAACGAAAATAGTTCCTAATGGTTCCCTCGTTCCTCCTAATCAATTAAATAGCGATATCTCTACACGAATTCATCGAAACAGACAGTATTAGACATTATAGATAAACTACATGATTTTATCCCTCATTTTTTCATTTTACCGTAACATTCAAAACAATTACACTCGTGATTTGACTCTTTAACAGCAATTATCCAGAAATGATGAGTGGATCGTTATTTGCGCACGAGACAGACTCATTTTATTTGATTTCATCATTGATGAAGTACACAATTATTATCCAATAATAGAATATTCTGCGATTTTAATCATACAATGAGGTTGATTTGTATTTTCACGACTTATTCAGAAAAATTCTTCACTTGTCAACACTTGAAAATTAAATCGTCAATTTCTAGAATTAAATCCTCCCATTTAACCAATTCAGAATATTTTCTTAAGAAATATTTTATTAATTCTTGTCGACAATGGCAATTGACTTTGTTCTGGTGTAAGTGAAAAAAATGATAGAATCGTCTTGAAAATGAAAAAAATGAGATTTTAAAATGTCGCGTTATTTCTAGTTGACGAAATGAAAAATTCCATTGAACATTTTCTATATATTTCTCCCAGGACATGTAATTTATCAGAATGGAGAGTATGATAACAATACTGTGATCCAAAGAAGCACATTTTTTGATTTTTTTTTGTCACAGCTGTAATTATAATTAACATATCTATTAAATCCTTCAATGACCTATCACTATACTTATCGGTCGTTACGTAGATATAGATGTATACGTGTATGCATGTTTATACGATTTTTTTTCAACGGCGATTTTTCATTCAATTCACATATATATAAATATATACTAAATCTTTAATATCTATATTCATATATATTTATATATATTCTTTCAATGATGCATAACGAACAACATTAATAATTACTCATTACGTTATTCATAAGATGGACAATAAATAAATCAATAAACGTAGTCAACCGTATGCCAGACGCGGCTTCGAGATTTACCGATACTAATCAATATCGATCGATACCAATCGAGAATTCAATAGCTCTTGTTAATGGAAAAATTCTCTCCTCAATATTCCAATTCAGTAACAAAGTAGTAAATAAATTATTCAAATTCACACTTTTAAATATCAATTAATCTCAAAATCTATCGATTGCAGAGATAAAAGTGAAAAGTTCATGTTAATTAATAATTAATAAATTAATTAATAATTATCGAGGTAAATCGATAACGAAGTTTAAATTCGACTTATCACACTTTACCACTTTCTTGCTGATGTACTCAATCAACAAGTGTCTCAAGAAGATTCCCAACCAAAATCTGTCATGTGTTTGATAAATCAGCCCTTGGCTCGAACCTTCAACTCTTCTCGACGAAATTATTACCTCGATATGACTCATCATCAATGAATCAGCCAATCAATGAAAAATTGGAAGCTCAACTCGCCCCCATCCTCAGAACAATAAATTAAAAAAACAAAAGTTTATTCACCCACTGCAACAGGGTAACCGTTGTGCCCACCACTCGCTCCAGTCACTCCTCGTCTCCTTGCTATTAACAATCATGACGTATCACTTGACCTCCTCGTGTCCAGGTGAAGCCGGCATCTCCCCAACTTGCCTCTTAGGTCTAAAGCTAGCAGTCAAAGATGATATCCATCCACTCTGAGTGGGTTGATCATGAAGAGATCCACTGTTGCTCGTTGATCGTGTCCCATCAATGCTCATTCCAGATCTGAACCTCGAGAATAGACCAGGAGACGCCTTCTTCGTGGGACAGGGGCTGGCAAAAGCAAAAGTCTTCTTCACATCCTTGACAGACTCTTTATAAAGCATCGAGTCGAGACTCCCCGTGTGCATCTCCTCGCACTTTTTGTCCTCGAGGGTTCCCAGAAGAATTCCCTCATTCTGCTTCGTTATCTTGGAGATGTCCTCCATGCTGGCAGAACTCCTCCTGATCTCTACCTTGTCAATCCCCTCGTCAACGACACTCGAACTACCCGGATGAACGACAATCTCCGGCCTAGACTTACTCCTCACCTCGATCTCCCGGAAATTCATCCTCTTCTGCTCCTTGACTTCCTTCATACTCTGGGTCTTCGTCACTGAGAGTTTGCTCTCTGGATTCGAGAGATTGCGTTTGTGCTTGACAGCGGATGTTTCATTGTCATGGGCTGGCAGTATTTCCAGGGAAGCTGACGGTCGTTTCTCCTTGGCAAAGACCATTCTCCAACTCTTGTTCTTGCCGTCGTGTTTACGTACCTTTGGCAAAGTCATTGCTCGCTTCTCCAGGAGTTCGACAACAGTTTGATTCGGATCCTTACTGTCTTTCACTGTCTTCATTAGATTGCAACGTTTACACAGCATGACGGGCGCCTGTCTGGATGTTGAACCCGACACAACTGAATTACTCTTCAAGAAGGGTTTCGACACGTGTTTGGTTTTCTGAACAGGTGGCTCTTTCGAATCAAAACTTATGCTGAGGCGATCGGTGAAGTTTCGAAGTCTTGACAGAAGGGACTTGTGATTGTTGGATGTTGTTTTGTCGTCGCAGCAGCAGCGGAGACCCCCTTCAGTCATGACAACGACGTCCTTGCGCTCCCTCTCGTCGCAACTCTGGCGTTTCTTCGAGTTCATTCTCTCGGGGATGTCCTCGATTATCGTGCCATTGCCCTCGGTCCTCTCCTCCTCGATTCTCGCGTCGATGTACATCATCTCGTCCCTCTCGAATTCCTCCAAGATCCTCGTCTCCTCACCAGATCTGGCGCTCACTGGGGATGACATGTCACTGGAGAAATTCTCACCTCGACTCTTCTTTCGCTCTCTCTCGTGGTCTCTCACTGCCTTCGCCAGGTCGTTGTGGTGGTAGTCAAAGGATGACTTCTCACGACTCCCTTTTCTACTCCCCGGGTAGCTCTTGCGACCTGATTGCGGTGGGACGTTACCCTCCGTTGAGATCTTGAACTTGAGGGTTTTTTCGCTGACCTCTACTTCCGTCGCTGTCTCTGGGTCCGAGCTCTCTGGGTTCTCTGCGTCCTCCTCCAGGAGATTGTTCTCTGCCTCGTCCTCGATGGAGCGTGAACGCGAGCGGATGGTACTTGCTGAACGTTTAGAACGCATGCTGTGGGACGACGTTGACTTCTGTACTGATGCTGCTCCAGTGCTCGAGGGGGCGGATGACGGGGTTGACTCCCCCAGGTCGATCACACTCTTCCTGTGGTGACGCTCGTCTTTTGCTGCTTCGTTCAGACGTCGGTAGTACTCCAGGGCTTCACGCGCTGGTTGGACTATCATGTCCTGGAACCAATAAAAATTTCTCTTGACCCTCTGCTGAATTGAATTCAATATTCCCTTTGATTGTGGATTATTTTCTTATTGAGGTGTGAAAAGCAGGAAAAGTATTTATGAGATGAATTTTGGAAGAGTCAAAGACTTCGGTCTGGAAAATTCATAGCCAACATAATATTTATAACATTAAATATTAATATTAGCGAATATTCATATGATTGGACGAACTTTCATGTCTGAAAAATATTATACGGCAGATTGTTATTAGAATGTTATTGATGTTATTATGCAATTACAATATTTAAAAGTGTAATCGCACATCCTCCGTTGCAAAATTCTTTATTATAATTCAGTCCAGGATATTTTCGAGTTCCTGGGGCTTAAGGATTATATTTATGGTAGGGCTTTCCACATAAAATGTAGTCACAGAAGATAGTACGAGCGCAAAGAGGATTGTAAATGTTTTAGGGTGAAAGGTGGCATTAAAAAGTGAGTTAGGTGCTGTTCGGCAATGCTCAAGAACATCCTGAAGAGGTTTGTGAATGTGACGAGCCTCTCGCGTACGACATACCAATAATTTCGAGGATCTATGACTTTTTATCGCGCCGAAGAGTGGGATAAAGTGGCCGAGACTTGTAGTGCATATAATTGAATTCAGAGTAAAATTTTCATAACTTAAAATAGAAAACAAATTATGAACAAATATTCGCCGAATGAACACCGCGTGATGACTCATCCTCGGGGTTTGAATTTCAGATTCGGAAAATTAGGAACATGAAATTTCTGTTCAGTTGGGATATGTTAGGAAGTTGGGAAGCAAACAACTTTAATATTGAACGTTAAAACACGGGAAAGGAAATAAACGTGTGAAGATATCGGGGATTTTACCTCCAGCTCGGTCAATAGTTCACCGAGTGCTTCGAAGAGGGGTAAAAGTACGAGGCCAATGAAGCTGCACTGTGACGAGGGCTTCGTAACTTTATCACGGTCCATAAAAGGCGTCACTGGTAATCCCTCGAGCTTCTCTGCGTCGCTTTGTTTGAAGAACTCCTGCAGGAGCTGGTCCAGCCAGGGCTCCGCTACCTCCATTGGACGTGCCTCGTTACTTATGTCTGCGACTTTTATCAACACCATTGACAGCTAAAAACGACACTTTATTAGAGTTATATGGGAAATTCACAATTGGACAGCTTGACATCAGGCCGTCGGTTTTATCTTGTTATTTTGCTAAATTCCATGTCAGGCTTTCTCGTCAGTCCGAAGATTTATTGGAATATTTCCCAATAAATTATTCACAACTTTCTAAAATATTCTCATTTTTAAACGAATTCATTACTTCATTTCTCTTTATATTCCATCATTGTAAACAATTTTCTCAATGAAGTAAGTAATGTAATCACTAAAATAATAAATATCTTCCCGAATTCGTATTCGAAATAACAGAGATGATTTGAAGAATCGTTTGAAATTCAATTACCAGATTAATGTGAGATTTATTCGTGTAATCAAATTCCGAAATGGTCTCAGTGAATTGTCCCAGTATCTCGTTGTGCCTTGCCATATCAGTGGCAAGGATACACCTGATAATTCCCTCTCTCACAGTTCGAAATGTTGCGGCATCGAGAGCAGCTAGTATATTGCATTCAGGATACTCTAATACCCTGAACGTCACTGAACAGTGATGATTCTCCAGGGGTGAGATGTCGTTGTACCTCAGTGCAAGCTCGGTACGTGCATTTATCTGATAAATATTGTTGTAGCCCGGATGATCGAGATCATGACATATACAGGATATAATTAGCACTAGAACCTCGAGGTGTCCGATCTTCGAGGGTAGATCCACAGCCCAGATTATGGCGTACATCTGAGAGCAGAATAGAACAGACCAACAATGAGACCTCTCAATACCATTAATTTACTGACCATTACTGATCTCAAACCCTACCTCAATGTTAACATCATAATCATAATAATAATAATAATAATCGTAATCGTAATCTCATTGAAGAACTGATTTGCCGATAAAATTTTATTCGAGAAATTATTCCCTGTTGAGTTCTGCAATTTTTTTTGCACATTAGCGTGAAATCTTTTGATCAATCAATTTGACTGAGTCATTGATTGATTGATAATTCATTAATAGTTAACTGATTGTTGTAGGATTTGTAGGAGAAAGGCGAAAGGTGGGGACGAAAATTTAGAGCCGAAGGAAAAATAATAATAATTTTTAATTGAGAGTTGTGAATTTTTTTGGAGTCCAGGATGTGCAGAGGGATTTTTTTGTTGATATGAAATCGATCTTTACCATTTGAGCGACGCAGAAGCAGTGTCGGAAGTTGTGAAAGGGCACTGCATTGTAATTATTATAGACCTCGTACAGAAAGTTGCGGAGTGTTGACAGTGGAATGTCGAACTTCTCGAGTAATTCAAGTTCAACGAACATTGTCTGAAGCATTAGGAGCAACTCCTCGTCCTTCCACTGGCCAGCGTCGAAGGCAGGGGATCGCAGCCACTGGCTCACACTTTGTGACAGGGAGACATCACTGTAATGAAAAATTAACGATTTTTCGATGATTAATTTTCAGATAATTGATCAATCATTCGTACAAATTCACGCAATCCAGATCAGTTTAAATTTATTTGCTCCAAAACGCCCGAAATTTTCCCCCGAAATTTTAGAGCGCTGGATAAATATCTTGAGGTACTTGGATAAATCGGGAATGTTCGAGGATTGCGATAGTTAGACCAGCGCTTAGGGTCTCAAGAAACTTTTACCAAAATATCCCTCATAATGACCTACAAAGGTATTCCCTTGAAAAGAGCATGGATGGGTACTGCAAAGAAAATGGAATTCCTCAGTGAAAAGGTTGCGGAGGAAAAAGGAGACTTTTTTTATTCGCAAGAGAGATCTATTCATTTACTTAAGAATTGAGGAGAGGTTTGGGTAGAGTGGATTTTTTTTTTTTCGTAAATCCCCAATATCCCTTGGAGTAACGATTTGGGTTCAGTGAATCTGATCTCATTTCCAAGAAGAGAAAAGGAATTCTGGGAGTAGATAAGGATTTTCGAAGGACAGCCAGCAGATTCCGGGATTTATTCCTAACAAATTTTTGTGATTATTCCGTAAATGTCTCGCGAAATCTTTTTCCCTTAAATGGCTTTCAGAGGAATTATCCAAAAAATTCAGCTATTGAAATTATTGCGTGAAAATTCTGGAATTTTTATCGTCAATCCCCGATTTTTGTAATGAATTATCATATATTATTATGTAGTTAACAATATGATAATGAGATAAAAAAAAATAGAAACTGTAATTAAATCTTAAACGACTCTCCGAATGGGGGTTAAAAATGTTCTATAATGATTGAGAAGTCTAGAAGTTTATGAGTGTCTCCGAGTGAATGCATGAACGTTATTTGTGGACAAATGCAATTATCCGTATGGAATGTATTCAAGGTCGTGCGGCCGACGATCCCGCAATTGGCGATGCGCGTTAGTAATCACGTAATTGGTGGTCAAGAGTGGACTCTCCCGACAAGTGCCAAGGAAGCTATAATGAACATACAAAACATCCGTTTGGCTTTTCCTGTATTATTTTCCTATCTAAAGTGTCGGCAGTCCGTTACAATCCCCTTACCTGTTGTTTCTGTTGCAAAGTGCTAAACTAGGATAAGTGGATATTTTTCGCTATTAGTTTTTATCCAATTTCTCGAAATTCGTGAAAAATAATGATATTTTCATAGACACCTTTTTTCTAGCTATCATTTTTTTCCACAAAAAATGTTTAAACAAAAAATTCGCTATGGTCCGTCGATTACGAGGTACAGGCTGAAAACTGGGGGAGAAAAAAATCCACTTATCCTAGTTTACCGCTTGGCTACTGATTTTATCCATCAATTTTCAAGACCAAGCATGTATTTTTATCATTACCGCTACTGGCGCCGGTGTACACCTCAATGGGAGCACCCACTGACGGATCGGGTAAAGAGAATGTACGAGAAATAAGCGCCAGTGCAATTACGCCCAACGATCCGTGGAATGCACGTGCTAAGTACACATACACTCATTCTAGAATAAATAAAGTCACGTTTCCTGTTGGATACCAACTGCGCCACTTCCCACTCTTTCCATTTTTTTTTCACATCTCAGCGAAATCATCAGTTTCTAGGAAAAATCTCCATATAAGAATCATTGAAATTTTGTTTTGCAACATATTTTTCGAAACACTGGGGTAATATCTGAGGCGTGCGCTGAACGCATGCGCTATATATTGAGAACCATTTTTATTATCTGTGATTATATATTATCCTTCAACTAAAAAGATTAATTTGTAGGAGCAATCCTCACAAGTGGCGGGATATTGAATAATTATTGATTATTGTTGTTTTTTCCTTCAATTAAATTCAATTGATAAGTACAATATTTTTTTTTTATTCTAGCAAATTGAAATGGTATATTATACTATATTATATACATATATGTATATATATAGTATGATATGCATAGCTTAGCTATGCGCTGAAAAAAGCTGACGAAAAATCGTTACATGCTTTTTTTCAGAAGGGATATCTCGTGATAAAAAAATTATATCAAAAAAAGAAAACAAGCAAGTGACTGGAGTAGATTTTTTCATAAGTATTTCGCGACATTTTTCAATGTACGAGGGTAAATATCAATAGTAAAAAGCCGTTTAATAATCTCGTCGTTGGTACATGACAGTTGGAATTTCCAGAGACAGAAATCTCATACAGAAGCCATCAGTGGACAGACGAAAAAAGCATGTGACCAGCGGCAACAGAAAATGCAAACCGGACGTTCATTTATTCGAGTGACAATTGCACGAAGTGAACTCGTCGTTTTTTTATTTCTCCATCGAAAATTGAACGATCAGTGACGCAGAATGTGTCAAGCAATTCATGAAATATTTATCAAACATTCGCTGGAATTAAATTAAACCTCAACTTAAATTCAATTACATGTCAATTTTTGTCAACAAATGACATAATTTCAAAAAGACACGCTTGAGGGCCTAAAATTCATTCCTCTTAAAAAAATCACTACGACTATAACTAATTATAACATTAAAACAAAAATTCAAATTTAAACGGTCCTTTTTAATTATAAATGTTAATTTTTTATGAGAAACTTTGGAGTTAATTTGCCGAATAAAATTCGCTAAATCGAATTTCTCTAAAGCTGACGGTAATCAAAAGGAATGAGGGTTTAAAGTTTATTCGTTGAAACTGGGGTATTGTTCCGTATGCAGTTGACTGCCTCTGTGATTTAACAGAGGGAACATCAAGTAAATGAAGGGGAATTAAATATCAATGGGTATTGCGTTCGTTGGTAATTTCGTGTTAATCTAATGGATCTGCAGATGGATACAGTGACGAGAAACGATCAGATAGTCCAACATGCTCCTGACAATGATCAATCCACCGTCATCATCATCTACTAATTGGTACACAAATTATAATATTCGACATGAAATTTGATAAATTACGCGAAATCGCAATGTAAAATTCCTACACCACTTCTTATTCTGTAATTTTTTCTGATTATTCATCTGTAGAAAACTGAAAAATTTTTGGATTATATAATAATAAAAGAAATTTGGAAGAGAATTGATAGATGAATAATTGAAAAAACGTCAATTGCACGGGAATGGATTTTTTCGTCCAATCGATTAATCGTTGAAGTTAATAGAGAGTACTCGAAGTATTTTTGGACTAGTTCAGAACAATTTATTCCACTCGAGTAATTAGCATCGTGGATAGCACTTGGTCTCTTCTGCAATTGCCAATGGATATCATCCGATTGCGATAATTAACCACTAATCAGCACGACTCTCCGATATTTCGGATTTCCCGGGTATAATTACGCAACTGTGTGATCAATGACTAGTTTATCACTGGCTCTTCCTGAATCTATTATCTACAATTTAAATGACATCCTGATACGGAAGATTATTCACCTCATTAAATAAAAATAAACATTAAATTATCAAGAATATACAAAAATTTCTGTTGAATTCGATTGATTCACGTTTATTCAAATTTTTGATTGTGGAAAATTCTTCAAAATTTCGTGGAGTCGCGAGAGAAAATTCCGGGAAATGAGCAATCAGGATAAAATTGTTTTGCCGTTTCTGGAGCTACAGTATTTGACAATAGCTATTGATTATCATCAATTACCGAGTTCTCTTCGAGATCTGATCAGAATAATGGACTTTCCGTTGAAAAATTTATCCTCGAGTTGTTAATGGCGAATTTCCTCGTAGGGGGATGAAAATCGACATTTTGCGAGGCGGCGATCGTAAGGGTAGATACCCCGAACAATTTGTGTAAAAACGATAACAACGGTGACAGGTGATAAATGACCCTAAAACGATAGCGATTGTAATCCGTGCAAACAAATTTTTGAAGTAAGTCGATTTGAGGTGAAGGAGGAAGCGGAAATTTATTTAGTTGAATTATTCAAGTCTTTGAAGGTGTTAAATGAAATAACCAATTGCACTTTGTCACAATCGGCTTGTGCCCTCCGACGTAATTGAGTATTTGAATTTATATTTTCCAGGCGAGTAAATTTACCAGAATTTTGTGAGGATTAAGAAGACGAGGGTTGAAGGCTCAGGGAAATTCCGGAGAAACAGGCATTTGCATCTGTTCGGCGCAATTGTCGAGTGTGGAGGCGAATTTGTATAATACTTGAAGCGGAATTTGTGCTGGCGAAGGGCTCAATGCTTTCAATACGTATTAACGGGGCTTCACGTGTGGATGACTTTATCGTAGATTCTCCCAAGATTTCAGGTCTCCGAGTTTACTCGATAAACATCGGATGCCGGAGACACTGCTAATTATTGAAGTTTGTGGAGCTAATGATTAATTACGGGGTGCAGCCAATTAGATTGCCAGGCACTGAGAGATATCGGGGTATCATTATCCGATCCAAGGAGCACATCCAGGTGAAAATAAAGAGGGATGATATTCACGTGATTTTATTTGAATTAGTAGAGTACTAATCAACTGTTTAAATAGAATTTGTTGATATGACGAATCGTGCGCAAGTAATTGTTCTGGGGAATAATTTTAATGGTTAGAATATTTTTTTGAATATATTTTGAAATATATTTATAGCTCAAATTGAGCAAGAAATATTAAACCCTTTCGGTCTATTTTTTTCGAAACGTCGGAATAATTATAGAATTGTCACACATGTCTAGTGCATGTATTGTCATTAAAAAAAAAATTCCGGTTCCCATTTTAAGGCGTAATATACATGTCAAGTGCGATACGCGTTGCCATTGTTTAATTCTGTGTCAGCGAGTACTTTTTATTCAGTATCTACTCTCTATGCTGATGGCTCCGTATGCATCCAACCGTGAATTTTTTTTTTTAACTCTTCATATTCTTCATCAATATTTTCCATTACAGATGATGCGGGTGACACATTTCGTTACTCGGACCATTCCCAACAATTGTCAGTCACATTTGCGATGGATAGCCGCGGGTAAATCACAGTGATTGTCGTGTGATTTTAGGAGAAAAACGGAATTGAGGTAGACTGAATCGAAACAAGTCCTCTGCATCTCGGGAAATTGAAAAATTTTCCCTCTGTGAACAGTGAAAATGGACTGCGTGTTCCAAGGAAATCTCGTTACTCATTGTTTTTCTTCTGGAACAAGTCCTCACGCGAATAAATAACCAAGAAACTACTTGGACGTACAATAATAATAATTACTTGAATTAAAAAATAAAAATGGTTTATTCTTTACTAAATATGGATTAAAATGGAATTTTCCATTTAAATTTCAATTTGATTTTGAATTTGAATTTCAATGAATCATCACTTGAGGCAATTAGACACTTTAGGTAATTGGAAATTGAAGGAAAACAGGAATTATTTATTTTATGTATTAATTATCGATCATGGGGCTCGCAAAGACGAGTCGCACCTGGAATTTCCATATGCAAAGTGTTCAGTCATTTTGACACTAAATCCCCATTGGTGGATGTCCACGTGTTCCCATGCATTGAGCCTATTATGAGTGTCATCAACATAGCCATCACCCTCCTCTGGAGCCACTGGGTAATTGGTCATGATCAGATTATCCTGTTGCGTGCTAATTATTCAAGCCCCATCGACCCCCTGATCTTGACTGATAACCGACGACGCAGGGACACTAATTAGTGAAGAATATTTCCATTGTGGAATTAATCCTTTGGATTAACCACATCAGATAATTTGAACAAAATGGTGGAGAAAAATCAGGAAATTTCTAGTTTCAATGGAATTCCATAAATTCCGTATTCTGCTTGTCACGTTGATAAAAATAATAATATCATTTGAATTATTTCAAATCGTCTGATTTCGTCTATTTCATACTACTTTGTTCATTTTTTATTTAAAAAATCAATAATATTGATAATTGAATTAAATTTAAATCGAATGAATTGAAAACGAAATGTAATTAAAAATTTAAGATTAATTCACAGAAATCACGAATTTTTTGTATTTTTTATGAGATTAGAGATTTTAATTGTGAAATTCCTTAGAATTTTATCGCAATTAAAAAGCAGAAAGGAGAAAATTTATAAACAGTCAAAGAGATTTAATATCTGGATCAAAGGATTTATGGAATGTATAATTAGAAGCCAGAAGTCGACGTCAAATGAAGTAAGATCTATTCTCCGAGTAGAAATCACTCCGAGTGGATGAATAAATGCAATTTCCCCCTGCAAGGGTAAAAAATAAAAGGGCCAATGTCTTTCAATACTCTGAATACCCTTTCATTGGCAGTCAAGGACCGGTTGAGTACCGACCACTCGGTTTACAAATGCTAGTTCCAAAGTAGTAACTCGATGGCATAAACTTTTCCACCCTCACGCACTTTATGGGTAATAGGAATTCCTTCGGAGATGAAAATGGAAGCCGAGAGGCTTTTAAATTTCCCGGATTTTCACTGCCGTTAATCGGGGCCCGAAATTATCTTTGTGGGCCCACGATAGGTGAAGTTTTCGCAGTTTTGTTGTTAATTATAATAATTATGTTGTGTATAGGAGGCGGGGCTATTGACATGTCAAACAAAAACCGTTGTAATATCAAGACAAGCAAGAGTTATTATTATTATTATTATTTATTGCTCCCATTTTGATACTTGATGAGCGAGGAATGTTGCCATTTTACAATATTATTCCATCGATAATTCATAAAAATGGAATACACTAGGATAAAATATTCCGTATTACCATTTCCATTCGCCATTTCCAAGTAATTCAATCATTAAATTAATGTTGATGATCGAAATAATTGGAAAAACGCAGACGGCTTTGCAATCCGATCAATAATGGATCGATGCGGTAAACATGCGCATAATTTATTGGATGTTGATGCATGAATGAAGTAGGAGTTTGCGTAATCCTGAGGCCACAGGGAATTGAAAATGGCATGAAAAATCCATGAAAGGCTCCCACTGAGAGATGACGGTCTGGGAGATTTTTGGTCGGAGAAAACATGGGGTCAAGGACATTTGGTGGATAAAACCCGCTCCAAATTCATGGCAGACTCATTGTTGTTGGTCTGTTGTGTCTCCAGTGGTCCGTCATCGTCTTTCCTGTTGTACCATCCGTTTTTCTTGAATAATTCATAACGCGTCAACCGTCCGGAAGGACATTAACCAGCAGCCCAGACTCTTCAGAGGATACTGACGCGTTTTTTTCATTTTCAAGATGTATTTTTTTTTTTATTCTCTTTTATTTCCTGCTGCTTCTTTCTCACCATTTATTATGGTTTAGACCTCCGAGAATTTTCCGGCTGGGAGGAGCGGTTTTTCGTGTAGGGAAATATTCATGGGGAGAGATTTAAGGACAAATAAATCATTTGTCAAAGTCACATGAACTATTTATCCACTTCAATCATTACTCATTTGTTAATGATCAAAAAATCTTTTAGTTTTCACTCAGCAGAGAAATTCAATTATTTTTAATTGAAAATAATTTTTTTTTATAAAAAATATATTGTTTGTAATGTCTTATGATTGCAATTAAATCATGGCAATCGCAATATGTCAATTATTGGCAGAATTTTTTTTTCTGTGTATATGAGTATTTTGCAAGAAACAATTAATTTATTTAAGAAATAAGTTTAAACCAGATTTTTGGGTGGAAATAATGGAAAAATTGGACAAATCGTGAGATGGGCGAGGATTTGCTTTAAAAGGAGTGATTCACATGATTTTTGGGTTTTTTTTTAAATAAACGAGTGGTTTAATTCATCTTGGCGATGATCTTTATGGAAGAGGGTCCGTGAAATACCGGCATAGGGGCGAATCAATGCTTTCATTGGAATTGGTTTTTCTCGGTAGATGAAACAATTCAATGCAGGTCGACTGTATTTTATTTTTTATCGCAATCAAAAATATTGGGTTTGGAGTTAATTGATTGCGAGAGCATGGAGAATGGAAATGATTATCATGGTGACCTGAATTGTTGGGGAGTTATTGGAGGCATTGAACATCAACATGATGATGTTTTGGTAATTCCGTTCGATGGATGAACATGTAGAGAAAATGAAAAGTGATTAAACTAAATGTTTTATCTCGAGTATCACTTGACGTTATGTGATTTTATGCCGAGGAATTCTTGGATTGTGTCGGGTCGTGGGACTTTTTAATATTTATTGGGTTATGGGTGATGGATTCCTCGCAATGGATTGGTTTTCAGAAAGTTTAGAAACTGGTGGGAGATCAATAACTAGTGACGTTGATTCATTTGTTGCTCAACTTGAAGATTAATGAGGGAGAGGTTTTTCTGAGCTGTTGATGTATGAGGAGTTGAGAGCTCAGGACGTGGTCATTCATTGTTAGAAAAAATTGAATCTTCAGGGGATCTTGAATAGATTTATCCAGCTGAGTCGCTGGAAATTCAATTCAGCGGATTTTTTAAGGAGAATAAATGTGAATTTAAAAGTTTAAATTTCATAATAAATTTCCATGAGTTAATTTCACATTTTCTGATTTTAATTTAATTGTCGGCTATTGAAGAGATTTACCCCTCTCCTAATATTCAGGGTCGGAAATACGATTCTAGGAATGCTTCTTAAAATATTGATTGAGAATGTTTTGGGTTTCGTATCCGAGGTGTGGGAGAATTTTCCCTAGAGTTAATTTTATTCCCGGAAATGATGTTGAGTGTATTTTTTCATTTTCTTTGATATACATGGAAATGGAAAAACTCACCAGATCTTGTGAAACTCATCGCGCACTTGACGTTTCACGGTGTCACTCTTCCGTCGGTACTGCAATCTCCTGCACGCCTCTGAGGAGACGGGTCCAGGTAGTTTTTTGTAAAAACCTGGGAATAAAAAATGAGGGGGATTTCTCGGTATGATAAGAGAAACTTTATATATTCAGTGATGCTTCAGATTTAGAGGCAAATGCGACATCCTAGGAGAATCATATTTTTTAATATTTTTTCTACGTGGATATGAAAGGACAGAAATATTGATGCATATTTGTAACAAAATGATAAAGGAAATTAACTTGTGTATATTCCTTTTTGGGTGATATACCAAAATAACAACTCGGAATATTACAATTCATATAATAATCATTTCATCTGGAATATTTTTTAAAATAATCTAATGACATCGTAATATCGCGACTTGTAATATTTTTCGGGATAATATTATTATTGAATAAAATTTGGAGCAGTCATCTCTATTTTGAATTCCATAATGTGCGCCATAAAATACGCGAAAAGATAAAAGATAGCAGGTGGATTTAAATAATTCACAAATTATCGAAGAATTTAACAGAGATAGCGAAATTTTTATTAAATCCTTTTTTATAGTGGCGATATCACTCTCTGAGACAACTCATGAGAAAAATTTTTGTATCTCTCGTAGATTCCGAGATATTCCGCGGAAACTGCCGGCACATAAAATACGAATGTTGTTTGATGTTAGAAGAGTGATTTGGATACTTCTTTTACAAGATTAAACGATTTTTTAAATGGATAAAAGGTGAAGGTTTCGATATATTCCAGGAACTCAATAACGCGATAAAAATCCAAACTCGACTGAAGGCATTTGGCTACTTCCATTGGCATAGGAATAGCGCCCCAGTCCAGGAGTGTAAATATTTATTCAGTAACCGCGCGAATTTCTGGCAGTCGTTGATGTTTGTGCGATCGTATATCTGTCATTCTCCTCAATGTGCATTGGATTCGGTTGAATTAAATTGCACAGCACTTTTCCATTCCTCTTAATTCAGTTTAATTGGCAAGACAAAGAACGGGGGATAACAACTTGCGCACACATTTGTTCGGAAATTCTCGGGTTCTCGACAGTAGAGTCTTTTACACCCACAAATATTTGTCCACTTGAGAGTTTCGAAGAATAAGTGAGAATCATTCCCCGGAAATTTCACCTTCAAACGTGTGATAAAAAATATCCTAGCAATTTTTTTCCGCACCCTTTGAATCACAAAAAACCTCTGAGACTTCGGAATATTCAAGATGATCAATAATTCTATTCTATCGATTTTCGCACAAAATTTATGATTTCCCATTGTGTGATTACCCATATTAATTAATTAATTATTTTTCCAACGTCCCACGCACATGAATTTTCTTGTTCATACGCATAATAAAAAATATTCTGGCATTTTTATCTCCAATACAATTAAAGTGATTCCGGAAATCCGCAGACCTTTTGAATGAAAAAGCCCTCTAATACCCCGAATATTTCATGAAAAATTGGGATATTGAAACCACTGAATGAAATATTGAATAAACCCAAAAGCCCCGGCATTATTCACCCAGGAATATTGCCATTTCCGTATCAATATCACATCATAAATTGAAAATGTTTCAATATCTCCGTCTATTATCTCGATACACCAAAAAGAAATAACAGATTGTGCACAGCAAACGTTATTGAATGTCACGGACGCTGAGCCCTGAGAAATGAGCTTACCGAGCCAACTGAGATGTTCAGTAGTTTCAAGTTTAGTCCGAAATGCATCCATTTGATGCTTGAGCTCTCTGAGAGCTGCTACTGATGGCTCTGATAGGACAGTCGACTGGTGCACCCGGAGTTCACGTTCCATCGCTGATATACGCCTTTCTAGTTCTCGCAATAGGTCTGAGTCAATCATCCCTGATGTTCCTGGATGGGCTCCAACGATCTTAAAAATAATTATCCTTAATTATTCCTACAATCCACTAAATCCACTGCAAAATGCATTAATATCGTGGAATAAATGAATAAATTGTTCTATCAAATACCGAAATTCATGAATGGAAAATTCAACGGGAGTCAATGACGGGAAAATTAATTAACACGGTGGGATAAGTCGAGTGAGATTTTTGTTGAAAAAATAGGAGTCATTGGTTTGGGATTGGGTAATTGTTTAAATTCAATGGGAGTCAATAACTGGAATGTGAAAGAGCATTGTTGAACGTGAAAATAACCAGTGGTACTCGGGGATTGGGGGGAAATCCCATGGGAGGTTCTACTGGAGTGCTTCACTCGCTCCACCACGTTTCAATGCTCGAGAGCACACCTCAACGTGCCTAGAATATCAGCATCTGGTCCACTGACAGCGACACCCACATTTCCCCGATATATTTAATAGTTTCGAGTGCAGAGTTATCTGCCAGCTGGACGACTACTGTACGGCTTATGACTTGAATACCTGATCACCAGAATTTCTGAGAGGTACGAGAAATCATCGATTTTTCCCCTTTCTCGTTTCGAATCTATTGAAATTATTATTATACTGGAGTGTACGTTACTATTTAATAGAAATAGAATCGGCTTTTTGGAACGACTCATTTTTTTATTTATGAAAGGTATTCATGGAAATATTCTTATCTTCTGTTAATTGGGGGGTTTTAGTGGAAAACTCGTGTTGGGATTGCGCTATTGAATTGGAAACGTATGTTATGTATTGTGTTAGAGTTTTTTATGTATAATATTTAATTGAAGGCTTACCTGCAGGATATATGGGTCGTCTGGAGTATTCGGTGGGAGATGAGACGAAATATTGAGCAGTTTATCGTCTTTACGGAGCTTCACGATGTCCAGAGGTCCTGCCTCTGCGGCATTTCGAAAAAGTTCTGAAATCAAAAACCAAAAACGATTCCCAATTAATTATTAATTTATGTACAATTATATTACAAATTACGAATTCACCAATTGAAGGGCTAAAGAATAGAGAATAAAATGTGGTCATGAGACTTCAGACATGAAGAGGTGAAAAATCAACTTGCAGTAACTGGAGCGTCGGTTTCCGCAACTTTTCTTGAAAGGAAAAAGAATAAATAAAGAAACCGAAAGTGCAGGAGACTCTCCGTGGCACTTGCCTTCTCCGGAGGACATCTCGACAGTAGAAGAACGGAAAAACAAAACAAAAAGCGAGATGTATATAACACCCGAACGAGAATAACCATAAGATTTCCTTGCCATTTCTCCAGATGAGAATGGAAGACGTAATGAAAAGGATCGAGGAAAACACCTCTTCTCTCCCAGAATTTTTCATAACTGCGGTCTCTCCATGATATCTTCAGCCACGAAACACTAGCAAAGTTTCATCATGAAAGTGCGAATACCAGTCCTCATTTCAATTCAGTGGGAATTCGGTAATGAGGGAAAGCTGTTCAAAACAAGTCTCCGCATTGATTCGCAAATGATAAAAGCACCTTCCGTGACGCATTTCATCATTTCAAGAATATTTCATTTCATTCTGTAAGAATTTCTATTAAAAAATTCTGGTCAAATTTATAGTCACTGGAATTTTGCATAATTAATTACTTAAAATATCTTCGTGAAAATCTGATCAATTGTTTATTAATTGGTTTAAATACTCCGGTGGATGGAAATATTTGCGTTGAGAATTTGCGTTGGATTTCAGGTGGCGGTGGGGAATCAGTGGAAAAGTCGGCGTTTGGTCGGGCGGATTATATCGGCATTTTTAATTTTATTCGTCAAATAATAATAATGGAAAATTAATTAGGAGTGGCTTGCTCCTCGATGTTGGCGAAAGTGGAAGAATATACGGGGGATAAGAGTGGAGTAAGAGGCAAAATGGCTGACGCGGAAAAGAGAATCAATATGTTTACTTGATAAACTTGATATTTATCCACGAAGGAAAATCGATAACGAATCGTGGTGTGATGATTCTCATCAGAAAACTCATTACTCCAGGTATCAGGATTTCTTAGCTCTCCCGTTTTATCACGTCCGATTGTTATTTTTGTTTGACTTTATATTTTTTCACGGCATTTTTCCTTTCCCGGGGTTTCTCAAGTAAACTTAATCACTCTTTCATTTATTTTCATTCCACCGGGATTTTAAACATTCAATGTTGATGCACAAACTCGTTTCGGAGGCGGACTCAACGATCCGCAATAATTTATACCATGGAAATTAGTAACAAATGTAAATTACGGGTAATTTCTTTCACCCGATTCTCGCATTTGCGTTTATCCTCGGGGAATGAATTACGAGATCTTTTTTCTCGTGATTTGCCAATCCTTGCGTCATTTCTCAGGTGGTAAATAAATTAAATATTCAATTAAAAATCATTACTGTTAAAAATTATTAGTGCAATTGCTATTTCGTTTTTTATTGAGTTTACTGAAAAATGAAATGCGAATATTTAAGGCTCAATTATGATCTTTCAATTGGGGCCTCGAAATAATTCAAGTCTCGCTAATAATAATTTAATTCACGCGAACAAAACCGGGATTGGTGGATAATGGAGGCAACGGGCGTTTGCCCGGAAAAAATTATTGGCAATTATCTTCAGATAAGTGCGGAAACACATGCTCATCCCCTCGAGGTTAATAACCAACCGTGACTCATGTTTTCGTCTCCTTTTAACGTCATCAAGTATTGAGTGCAAAATAATCGTTTGATCAGGGCCTTTTTTTGGGATTTCTCTTTGCCTTTTTGCAAAAATATATAGTTGAATCAAGTCTACATAATAATATAATATAATATATTTTTATAATGTAGATTCTATATTTTATACGACTCGAATATATCTTCCCGTGCATGAATCAGAGATTGCAAAATCTAGAAAAACAATTCTTAAAATTATTGTTATCATTTTTTTGTGGTTAGTCCGTCACACCTGAAGCTTCAAGTAACTTCTTAAACAGCAATTTATATGCGGATTAATTCTCGCACCGGAAATGGAAATTATTTCCCAACATGTGTCTGGAAAACGTCGGGCGTTCATGTATGTTTGATTGAAAAACTTTTCCCACATTTTGGTGTACCCCCGGATACTCAGGGATACTGAGGGAAAGTTTTGGGTTCTTCTGTCTGAATTTTGCACGTGGAGTCAAAGACAAATTCAGAATTCAGGGGTTATTTTAACCGTGTGAGAAGGAAAGTTGAATCAAGGGTGGAGAATTTTAGATGATCAGGACTCGTGGCGGACTGAATAATTTATTTCAGAGATCCTGAAACTGTTTCTGATGGTGTACACATGTTAAAAAAATTGGTGATTATTTCAATTCCTCGAACTCTCAAGTTAATTAACGAAAAACAATTGACGAAAATTAGGAGAATAAAATTAAAGGAAATCAAACTGATTAAATATAATACAGAACATTTTTTTGTAAATTCGCCGGAGAAAAGACTTGATGCGAGAAAAAAAATCATTTCGCGGAATGCGTCCCTGAGAAATCGAATACTCCACTAATTCCTTCTGATTCTCGCCGTAAACTACAATTACTCATTTACATTGATGTTTACCTAGCGAGTTATATTTCAAATCGATTCAATGCTCGAGACTAGGAGCGGCTTTCTGGCTCCAGAGGTCATATTCACGTCAGTGAAAACGAGCCAATGAGACAAACGAACGATAATGACGCGACATGCAGGATAATTGCGGTAATTAACCGTAAGATATTAGAATCGAAGAGGCACTTGTCCTTCGGATTCGTTAATAACAACATCTATTTCTGCAAATGCTGCTACCACCGCAAAAAAAAAAATGACAAATAAAATTTTCTGGGAAAATATTCTCTGATACTAGTTGCAAATAAATTATTTTCCCTTTAAAATAATTTTGCACTCAAAATCCCATGATTAGTCGAGGAAAAATGGAAAATGGAGTGGAATTTTTTTGAATTAATTGTAGTGGATAGAGATTAGTGATTTTTTGAAATTGATCGGAAAAAAAGTAACTTGTACTTTGATAATTGATAGGGGGACATGACTGAGAATAAAAACGTCCGAAGACTCTCTCGAGTCCCAGTCAACTCCTCGTTGTACTGTATCTTGTCCGGTGCTTTCATTGACTCTAATGGAATAATGGTACGTAAATCATGGGTGTACGATGCGCGATTACAGTTTTTTATTGCTGGACCAGCTCAATTTATTCATTATTATGTTGAGGCCAATATCATTGCTCTGCGGTGACCAACTGTGTGTATATCTTCATGGAGTACATGGGATGTGTCCATCATACCCAGAAATATGATTTATGCTGGCTGCCAGTCCAATGATTTATTCTAACAAAATTTTTTATTATTCTCGTAAGTGTCGGCTCGTGGAAAAAATTCATAGGGTGACGTAACTATGAATTATTCAAAAAATTGTAATAGTTATTTCAAGTTTTCTCGAGAACTTCAAATTTTCCTGAATTCTTGAGACAGTTGAATAATTTTCAAAATTCCGAATTTGGATCGAAATATTTTTTCAAATTTTTAGAAAAAATTATGGGAAATTCCTCAGGATTTGTATAGATGAAACAAAAAAATACGAAAAACAAAAATACATCATCCCCCCAATATTTTTGTCAGTTTTTTCTCACAACACCGCGAGAGAACAAATACTGGGATAAATAAGCTCACCTCAGCGTGGAAATAATGAAAATTTTTTTCCGGCGCACTGTATTCTTCCATTTTTTTTTTCTCAGGGGTTGGAATGGGGTTTTATGCACAACCGCAGTGGAAAAAACTCTCCCAATGGGAATTATACTGCAAGCACAAAGAGGCTGAGAGCCAGAATAAAAGTGTCACCCAGTTTTTTCGTTGAACACTTCTTTTTTTTTTCGACTCCTCTTTTTGGGACTTTTTAAGGGGAAAATAGTGGAGGGCTTTAATCCCCAAGGGCTTGGGAGTCTCAACTTGGTACAATGGGGGGTTTATTTTTACTCCTGTTTACCCCATCCATGTCTGATATTTTATACCAATAATAGCTGGACTGCTGATCACCAATTATTGGTCGTCCACATCGATTCATTGCTTTTTACTATTTGTGGAGGGATAATAAATGCTCAGCAATTCATTTGTTCTCTGTTTCTACCTCGGGGGATTACTGAACTCGGCAATCGTTTCATTGTTCATTTTATTATCTTATATCATTCAATTTTTCGTACTACAGCAAAATTCCTGTTTCTCATTAAATTATTTTGGATGTCATTATTTAATTAATAGATATTAATATATGAGTATATTATTATATTATTGAATAATGTAATGACATTAGTAATAAAAATTTCTGCAACTTGGGATTATATTCCTAAATCTTCATTGATTTTAATTAACTAGTTATTCGATGATTTATAAATGTTTTGAAATTTCGGGAGATTTTTGGAAAAAATAGTGACAATACCTTAATTCGAGTCAGAGGGAGCGATAAAAAATGGGGAAATCGAGGACCCAAAGCCACTCTACGTGCCAATTTCCATCACATATACCCGTCGAATTTCAAAATTGCCCGAGGACTTTCGGTACATACACCCAGGGAATTACAGCCCGTGCATATTCATATCAAACTTCGCATGGAAAAAGGAAAAAAATCCAGGAGTGAGGGCATTTCGGCGCTACAATGGGATCGATACGTAAAAGCCATCGCTTTGGACTTTTTATTCCAGGGCAAATTTCCGAGTAAAAAAAAACCCTTCAATAAATCGCTAATCTTCCGACGAGATGGAACTCGCGAATATTTTCAGAACTGAACGCGCGTTAGAGCGTGATTTTTCCGGAGAATCAAATCGGAAAGAAAAAATCGAATTTTTTAATTCAAGACAGTTTTACATCGTAAATTCCTCCTCGTAAATTCCCCGAATATATAATTGAAAATTTAAAATTGAATTAGGATTACGATAGACGATTGGTGGTTTTGATTTTAGAGCGCTTTATACGAGTCTGAGAATTTTTGGTAACAAGTGGTGAATGGCAGAAAAAATCGGCGATTTTGCGGGCGTTGACCTCGATGGAAGGTTCAATGACCCATGAAAATGGTTCTGATGGAATCTTTGGGGTAGGCTATTTAGCTCGACCCCACGTCCATCGATTGCGAGGGATTCGTTTGGCCGACGGCCGTGGCCGTATGGCCCTGAGGGTGGCAATAATTGCGTGACCATGGTAACCCAGGGAAGAATACATCCGAGATACATTGGAACCCCCTCTCCCCACAAAAATGATTAATTAATCAGAGAGCCAATGAATATCACATGGAGTCTAAAATGACGAGTGTTGATTCTTGGTGGAATTTTGAAGTGCCGAGACTTTAATAATTAACCTAACGCTTCAGGATATCATTAACTATTCACGAGTCCTCAGCGAGCCCCAGAGGGAAGAAGATTCCAGTTAGAGTGATGAGAGTATGGAATATTTAGGATTTTTCCCGAGTAACGGGTGTCATAAATTAATTCAACGAATTTTAATTTCATGCACTTTTCCGGGAGAAATTTTTAATGCAATATTTTTGGTTGATGGCCGGCGATTTTTCAATTTTTTTGCAGTTAATCCTTTAATTCGATTCAATTATCAATTTGGTACCATTTAATTCTTCAACTTCATCATTTTTTTAAAATGTAGATGATGTAAATTAAAACTCTTGGATTGGATAGTTATGGAAAATATTCAATTAAAGGAGATAATTGGCATTTCGTGCGAGAGGATAAAACCGAGAACTATTTGATATCTCTTCCATACGATGTATATAATACTTCCAAGGACCTTAATCCCATCTAAAAATATCACCTAATGGGAAACCCCAAGTACAGCAGCTTTTTATGGGTTTGCCAATAATAGACGGTAGCTCTAATGAAATATCGTTGTAATATTCGACCTCTCGTCGGTGTGACCCGTGTTTACCAGCTGATAGTTATATTAGAAATGAAACACTTGACATTAGCCATTACTGAGTAAAACCCTGTGTTTTTCCAGAGGATGGAATAACCCACTTTACAAAGTGTCCACCTGACAGGAGGTTATTGGGTTATTACGGGGTATAATAATCGTTGAGAAAATTAAAGTAAATGGAGAAGTGCTTCAGGAGATGAGAAAGATGATAAAAATCGATATTTTTCCCGGGAACACTGCCCTCTTTGCTTACTGGAATTATATTTCCATCATACTGTGTCGAAAAATAATTTTTACGCACTCGTTACGAAATATCCTACTCCCATCACAATTGAAAAAAAATATATGTATGATTCCAAGAAAATTCGTACAAATTAACAAATGATTTAGACAATTTAATTCTTCTTTCATAATTTTAAGTCGCGATTTCCATTTCCCGGGGATTGACGTGGCCTTAACAAAATTTGTCGGGGACTTTATTCCCACCATTTCCTCAGAAACATTGCATTCAACAAGATCTTGGATCAGACCGCAATAAATTTCTCGGGCAATAAAAATCGTTGTAAAATCAGAGGTATTTCTCTCGACGCAGATCTCAAATAAAGTAGGAAAAACCGATGGAAAAAGGTAAAGAAAAGGTGCTTTCATCTCCGGAACCATCGTGACCCGATTATCGCACATCAGAGGGTCATCGGGGAGGGAAAGTGAGTGGATGGAGGAAGCTGAATAAGTTCTTTCTTTTTTAATGGAAAGAGAGAGTATACCCTCACGGACTCGATAAATTTTTTTCCAGAGAGAAGCAACCCTTGTTAAAAGCCTTTTTACCCCAGTGGATGCATAAGTTCTAGTAAAATTTTTTCTCCCTTTCATAATTCAATTAATAATAATAATACTAATAATAACAATAATAATAATCTCATTAATGAGTAAATTTTTTGATGAATTTAGTATTATCAAATAATTAAAACGAAAGGAACAATTTATTTAGTGAATTGAGGAAATAATTTTGGCTTTTACTATTGGAGATTTTGGATGAATTTCTTTAACTATGGGAGGAAAAAATTGATTCCTTTCTGTCCATTGAACCAAATGATCATCGAATGATCCGAGAAACTACTTATTGCCATTAGATTGAATCACGATTGTCCTTCATGTCAGGGTTGATTTTGATGGATTGTCTGCTGACGTCGTGAGGGCATATGTTGCCAGTGACTGTGAGATTATTCTATTTTTTTGGCCCTGCACTAATGGACTCGAGGATGAGGGAGCAGTTCCTCTCAGGACAGTGGATATTTAGCCAGAAAAAAATGAGGGAGATGAGAGCACTCCTGCTTCTGACTGTTCCTCTAATTACCCAATTTTGTTTATCCCCCATCGATGGAAAAACACTTAATTTGATTAACAATCCAATGACGGGCTTCGAGAGGGTCTTGGTTGTCATTGATTTATCGAGAAAAATTTGTGTTATCATATCTGTAGTTTCACGGAGTTTGACGAAGGATTGTGGGAAAAATTTCCCCATGAGTTTCCGGAGGAAACGTCACGTAACGAGTTAGAAGAAATTAATGAATTATAATTTGTGAGTAACTCACCCTTAAGTTCCTTATTGGTGACGTGATCAGGTCGGAAGCTAGCCGTTTCCTTGCGATCGCCAACCATGAAGTAGATATTGATGTATTCCTCTTCGGTATCACCGGTGCCGTTTCTCGTCTCCTCGAGGTCCATGGCCAGCCGTTTGTTGGCCGTACCAATAAACGCCCGTTATCAGGCCCGTTATCACCAAATACAGTCAGCAGTGACAGTAATAATGGCGGGTTGATGAGTGACAGAGTGTCAAGACTAATGACAACGGCAACACGACGACGCTGGTGTCGGGTGATGCGCTTCAGGAGCTGACCCTTGTTGGACACCGGGCTCATCGTCGCATCGCCGTACTGGCGGCACACCGGCCACCAAGATTATCAACAGCTCGTGATTTTTTACCCTTCCACACTTGTCTCTTTGATTTTGTCTCTTTAACGGAGGGACGGGCGATCTTTAATCCCGATCCTAAGGGTTCTGTCAACCACTGATCCCTCACATCTGCATAGTCCATTCTGCAATTTAAAAAAAATTCTCCATTTATTTAATCTAATTTCATACTTTTTATTAATTAATTGATCCATTTTTGTCATTTTTTTTTCAATTTAATTTTAATTTTTTTTACTATTGATAAATAAGTAAAAATTTATTTAGGGGATTTACAAACAAATATCTATCCCGGGGGAATGTCGCGGGGAAATCGATCGCACAATAGTGTTGAGACGAAAAAAAAACTCCTTGAAAATCCGTTTAGCGTACGGATAAACGATAAATGAACGGAAACGTCGACGACGGGGAGTAATTGAATGGCTGAAGAATAAGAGCAACGAAATACCCCCTGGGACGTGCATTTACGTGGAGTGCCCCATAAACTGATCAGTATCATCAATAAATCCATTAGCTAAATAAAATTGCGGAGTATTTTCAATTTTCCTATTATTTCCATCGGCTTGAATTCATGGGGAGGGCATTATTTACTGCTATCAATAATAAACCATCAGCTCAGAATAAATTTTGTCTCGTCCTTTTCTTTTCGGAAATATTGACAAAATTCTTTCGATTCTATTGTCATAGTATGATCGATGAAATCATTGAATTATTCATTTCAACATTTTCCACATGAAATCATAATTTCCAAATTGATTTGATTTTCAATAATATATTATTTATTATTATTTATTTTCATAGGTGAAAAATTAAAAAATTTATACGTGAATTTTGCAGGGATTGTTTTTTTATAAATAATGGGAATTGAAAGAGATTTTTTTTTGAGGTTCGGTAGAGTTCAGTGGAAAAGTCATAGGCGATCTGTAATTCACTTGACCCATATCTGTGAATTTGACTCCATTTTAAACCGTCGACGTTAACCACCTCCACCTGTACATGCGTTGCTGCGGTTAAACGCGCACTGCGACGTTTTCCCGTAATTAAGTTATTCAAATTTATTTCCCCTCTCCCCCCTCCCCACCGCTTTCCGAAATAGAACTCAATGAAATAATGTCGTTTGTTTCTACGCCGATGTCAAGTCAAGATTTTTTCCGGAATATTGATTAAGCGGCAATCGAAAGAATTAAAATCCAATTGCCACTTCAATCTCGTTCTTCGACCGCTCAAATCGAACGGAAATCGATTTTGATTTTGGTATTGTTTTCGAGGGTTGAGACTTGAAAAAAAGTTACCCGTTTTTATTAGTGGAAATTTCATTAACAATTCATGTTTATTTCGAGAAGTTTGTCATTATAATTCGAAATTTTCTTGGAAAGCCCGAAAATTTTCAGGACTGCCAAAAGTTTTTTAATGCATAAAAAATTGGCAATTAAGGGAGAGAAGTTTCTAGATTTATGAGAAGATTTGAATGAATCACAAAGTTGAGAGGATCGAAAGAGAAATTTAGGACCAGCGGATAATAAATTGAAAATCGATGGAATATGTTAACATTTTTCAAGAGAATTTCTTGCCTGTTTGGTGCAGGCGAGATAGTTAATATATTGAAATGAAATACGAGGAATTAGAGTATTCGATGAAGCGTTCACACGGGAATAGAGTAAATGAGTGAACATCGATGTGACCCAGTTTCAGGGTTGTCTCATTTACAGACACTATACGTCCCAGACGTGTGTACTTGCGCACGTTCATGGAAAATTAGCGCATTAGCACTGAAAACCAATCATAATATAATTGAATTGAAGAATAAAATGGTGGAAAACATCGAGTAACTTCTCGATTCTTCTGTTGTTTATTTAATTCAATTAAAATAAAGTTTATTCGAATTGAAGGGAAAAATAGAGAAGGATTCTACTCATGAATTTCGCGCTTTTACTTATTTTTTCAAGTTGTGATTTCAAGGCTTCAACTTCTCGTTGTTCTCTCATCAGAGAATTTCCCTCTCGTAATATCGAAATGGTGTACCACAGGTGGCGTTTAATTTTCTGGATTATTAAACCCCCTTTGTTTTCCACCAGATGAAATAAAGATGAGGGGAATCAGTTGAAGGGTCAAAGCACAAGAGCAAGAACCCAGGGGCTTTTTACTTTGTCGACCGTCAAAGGTGACTCACTTTCATTTCCTCTTTATGAATTTCTGTTTGTCGGGATACACCAGAAAATTCGAGGGCAGCGGCCATTAATTTACCCGGAAACTTCAGAAAATAAAATTGAAGGCAATTTATCCTCCTATTATTAACTCACAAGTTCTTCCCGAGAATATTTATCATCGGTACGAAAAAAATCTACATGTAAATAAAATATAATCAATAATAAATACCAATAAACAATATTTTTGATAATCCCCATTTTTTTATTGGATTATCAGTTTTAAATTGTATACTATTAACGAGTTTACGAATTTTTTATTAATAAAAAATATTATCGTCTTAATGATTATTTATGTTTATGAAAGAATGGGTATGGAAATAAATCCTTGGCGAAAATATTTCTTTTTTCTCTCAGCACTTAAATTTTACGACTCTCGTCAGTTTTGACACCGAAATGACTCAGGAAAGAAAGGAAACGTGCTAACGAGTCCCGGTCAGTAATAATTGTAACATCCTCATGATGGTACTCAGGGGAAGAGGGGCAACTTCCGTCGATGTGACGGCCTGGGGGCCCCTGAAACGAAGGAAGTTGCCAAGACGGCCCCAACGCCTACGACTCTTGTACAGAGAACACCGACGACAAAAGCCCTTTTCCTCCGTATCCTCTCCTCATACCCTCCCCTTCCCACCCCCTCGCACACCGCCATTGTCGCTCCAGCATGAGCACAAGTTTCGTCGTAAATTCGAGTGGTAAAGTATCTCATAAAGTCACGGAGATATTCAAAATTCAGGGCAAAAGAGCTTGTTTTGTTTTACACTGCTAATGAGAGCCGATTAATGCAGTTTTGTTGGATTATTTGAGAAATTATTTTTATTGGAAAGCGCATTAATTTACCAGGAAAATGGATGATTTCAGTTGGGGATTATCTCTGGATGAACATTCAATGGAAAATTATTGGGGGAACTGATTTTATTCGGATTAATTTTTTTACGCATGAAAAGTTTAATTGGGAGAAGGTAAATCATTCAATTTTATGTTTTGTTATATTGATAATAATTTTTATTGAATACCCGGGTGAAAAAAAATTGTAATCGAAATATTTTTTTCAAATTTTCAAAAAATTTCGGAAGAACTTTTCAGAATTTTTTTTTTTGAAACAAAAAAAAATCGGAATACAAGATACGCCATCTAACGAATGAAAAATTTTCCTATTCAAATTTTTGAAAAGTTTTTCAAAACCTTTTCCAAAAATATAATTGAGTTTTCTGATTTTTTTTTGTTGCATAAATAAAATTGTTCGAAAAGTTTTCCAGAAATTTTTGAAAAATTTGAAAAAAATATTCCGATTACAATTTTTCTTTACCCGGATATTGTTGAAATAATAATTTTTAAAAATCGTCGAAATTATATGGAAAGTCGTTATGAGAACATGATCAATCATCCAAATCGAATTTTTATGACGCCGACAATTTTTAGTGAATTTACCCGTTGGGCCTCGTTACTCCCCCCCTTCCCCCCAGGCCCCGAGATCCTCTATAAATGATGCACCGCACCTGACACGTTTATTAGATTTAAATCTTCATCCATTTTCCAGATGAAATTTCAAGAATTTTCCCCTCTCATAGACACATTTTCTCCTCCCATCACTCTTTTCCTCGGTCTCATAATTCACTCTCGTTCACTCCGAAATTCAGTTAAATTCCTAGCCTCAAGGTGCACTGTTGTGCACAATAAAGTGTGTACATACGTTGGTACAGTGCGTCATTGCACCAAAACCGAATTCAAGGCGCGTCAGACCCGCGTAATCCGACACTTTCGTACTGAGATATGCGGGTTATGTGCAAGTCGAATATTCAGGCTAAATTACCATATGACTTCCAAAGAATTTGTCACCACCGTCTCCCATTTGGAGTTGAATCTCAAAAGCAATGAGTACACTGACAAAAAAAATTACTGAATTAAAAAAGAAAGTGTTTTGAAACTAAAAAAATAAATTCATAGATAGTCGCAATAGTTGCAATCGCGTATGTAATTGAGTTGAATAATTCAATTTTTATTGAAAACTCATGGAGATAGTCGCGAGAAAAATTGGTTGACTCCCATAAATTTTTCCATTGAAGTGTCGTAATTCCTAATAAGCGACTACAAATGCGTTGAAGCCCTTAAAACTCTGTCTATCACCGAACAAATGCTCTCAATATACCTTTAAATACCGCTATTCTCAAATGCACTTGGAAACTATATGGAGTGTTCTGGCATTAATTTGAAATAAAATTCGATGGAATGTGAGTCTTTTCCAAGACGATTCAGATAATCCGTGTAATCGGTTTGCTCTGAAGCCAACGTGCTCCGTTCCCACCCCATTCTAAACTTTTTCATTAATTCCTCTCCTCATTCTTATTGTTCCCATCCATTCGCGGAAAAAGTTTGTTTCCAAGGTGATAATTACCCTTGCACTACCACCCATTTACCGTCTGTGAATGAGGTAAAGTTGGAGAACAAAAAGTCTCAGGAGAAAATCGACGTCATGAAATGTGTTGTTCCTTGGTTAGAGGTTTCTTCTGGGGTTAAGAGTCTACTCTCTTTGCGTTTTGCACTACATTCCCTCGGAAATTATCTCTCGAATTCGCAGAAAAAATGTGGGGAAGCGAAAGAAAGAATGTGAAAAGACAAAACCACGAGCTGTGTCCTGAGAATATTCTCCTATCAATTAAAAAAATCGCGACATCTCCTGATAATTAATTTCTTTGTCATAACATTAATCACAATTTCCTCTCTATATCAATTGATGAAATGAAAGTCTTCACGTGCAATGGAATAAATTACGCATTTTTTAAATCAATTTTTTGAATTCTAAAAGGTAATGCGGATCGAGAACTTTTAACACGGATCAGGCGAAACTTTTCAAATATATTTTACTTTCAACGTAGAGAATTTTCCGATGCTTCATTATCGCGGATTGGAGGAAAACACCGGAGGGA